GAACCTGAGCCCATTGCAGAATCCAGGGTCCTCACATCATCCTCGTCGTCCTCCCGCGTCTATAGAGATGGTGGAAGGAGCGGCGAGAGAATCTTACGTCTCAATCATTGAAAAGTTAAAAAAAAGAAAAGGGTGCACTGCTATCTTTTGTCCAAAAATTGCACATCATTGTTTAAGTAAGCCACTTAGAATTTGGGTAACAACTAAAACCTGCAGTGAATAGAATTGTACTGTGCATTAGAAATTGTATTGTTTCTTTGCAAATACTACTTTACAGCTTAGAACATGTCTCCATTGAATTCAAAAGTGAGATGAAACACAAAACAAGCCATCCTGCAATAGAAAGTAGAAAACTACCTAATGCCCTAATTTTATCCCCACATGAGACATGGCGGTTTGCAACATAGGAAGACAGGAATTAAAATGAGTAACAAGCTGCCAAGATAACAACAGAAGGGAATTCCATTTCAACCGCATTTTAGCTAAAAAAAAACAAGCTTCCAACTAAAGACAACTGTTCTTGTAACGACATACCTTGGTCAGGCAGCCTGAGAAAAACAAAGAGCGAGGCTATCTCTGAAAATGACCCAAAGGAAGAAAAAAAAAAATGACAAACTAACCAGCATTTTCTGCAGGAACCGTAGATAGGACCTCTCCTGCTCCTTGAGGTGGTCAATGAGATTGGAGAGACGTTCCACGTTGGCCGGCACATCATTCTTCTCCACCAAGTCGTCCCTCATGGAGCTGGCCTTACTGATGTACTCGCGGATCTGTACCAGTTTACTCACCACCTGACACCGTGCAGAGAGAGGAGGGTGGTGTGTGGGTGTGGATTTCAGACGAGTAAATGAAAGCAAGTCGGAGGAAAAAAGAAAAAATTAAAGAAAGGTTAGCGAGCGTTCTCAGCTGCGCTTCAGATGTGGCTAAATAAGGCCAGAAGGGGGTTGGGCACAAAACTCACTGGGCACCAGTGGTGGCATATTTATAAAGTGCCCTAAATACAGCTTTGTTTCAGCTGCACTTGCTCTCCCTCATTTTAACCTAGTTCTGGTTTCACAGACGTTACGTTCAAACGGGGACAGATTGAAATGAAATCTTTCTAACCAGGATTAGTACAATTAAACTTAAAAAAAAAAAAAAGATATGGGACAAGATAACAAAGCAATATACTGAAACTGACTACAGCGCTTTCTTTAGTCAAGGGGAGCAGCAGAATCAAGTAGTAAGCATTCCTTGTTAGTTCATCGCTCCCTTTCACATTGTCCCAGGGTTTAAGCATCATTTGATATACTGCTACAGCATCAAGCATCAATTACAGCCGCTCTCACTAAAACGCTACACCACTCCATCATCAGGCACTTGCTTTAGAAACTCCGAAACTGAAACCAACGCAAACATCAGCGTAGCACTGAAAGGTGAAGAGAGCATGTGGAGATATTTATGCTCCCCGGAGAATGTCAACAATCTTGGCGATCACGGGACTTTTCCCCACACTTCATCCCATTCCCTCAGACTACAAAGTTATAAAGTGGCAGCCAGACGAGAGTAAGAGCAGAGCAAAACCCCGGCATCAACGAAACCAAACGTTACCTGGCTGCTGTCGATCCTCTGTTCTCCTCTGCCATATTCTCTGTGTGCTAAAGGTCCTCTCTCAGGGCCGCCGCGGCCGGGCCTCGGAGTCCCCTTGGCAGGAGCAACAGGGGTTAGCATATCCCTGCGTCCGGGGCTCTGTTTCTTCGTTTCCTTGGTGATCGCAGGTGTCGCTGGTGCAGATGAGGAGGGAGGGAGCAGCGCCTTGCTTTTGTTAGTGTTCACATGCAGGGGTAGGAAGTTGTAGGGCTTTTTGTTCTCTCCAGCCAACTGCCGCTGGTTGTTGGCCGCAGTGGCCCGGCCCTGGGAGTCACTGCCGATGCTCCTCTGTGTAGGAAAAGGAGATACAAGTCAGACAAATCCACAGTGAAGCCTCTGGGGTTGTATTTTACAATATCATGCACTGTAGGTGTTAAACAATGGTGTACGTAATTGTTTTCTGTCAGTGAGCAGAGACAGTGCATCGATACAGAATTCTCTATCTGACTTCGTCCACTATGGAAAAGCATGACAAAAGATCTATGTTGGCACGTAGTGCTCCGCCATTCTGCGACCTTCAACTGCAAAGCAGAACACGGTCAACTAAACAACCTTGTATCAAAATATGAGAAATACCCTAGAATCCTTTCGTCTGCATCAAGGCCAAAAATTGGCCCTTTGTCACTGAATAGGGGCTGCAACTTTTTAATATAGTTTTCCAGTGTGATAAGCTGTAAGATTTAAATTCCATATTGTAGAGTCACGAACAGGCATGTATAAAAAAACCTAAGACCAGAAATGATTAGTAACTTATAATCACTGGAAATCAGCCCTAAATGACCTGTATGCATTTGCCATGCATGCTTTTGTTGGACCAAGACATCAATCAGTTCAATGACCTGTTCCCCAACCATCTGGCGCGCGGACCGGTACCGGTCCGTGTGCCATTTGGTACCGGGCCGCACCACAGAAAGATTTTTTTTTCTTTTCTGCAAAATGTTTTTTATTCTGAAAAATGACCGGATTCTCTCCTGATTATGTGCGCTCGTGCCTCTTGACATATTTCCCAAGCGCCACAGAGCGTTTTTCTTCACGTTTACAATCGTCCTCTTACCGTGCACGGCAGTTTCGACAACTAGCGAACAGAGAGCGCACAACTACTAACCGTGAGGTAAAAAAAGGTTGGGGACTACTGATCTACAGCACAAGTTAGTCCTTATGTGAAAAAAAATGTGTGTATTAACAATAACATGTGGACCCACTGAACAGAAACAAGTAATGACGGTAGAGAAGCTCCTCACCTCATCCAAGTCTGTGAAATTGATTCTTTGACGCAGCTTCTCCAGCTCGGCCTGGTCGGGGACAGACATCTGGGTAGTGTATTTGATGTGTGGAAAGGAATGAGGAGTCCGTGCTCTCCTGCGACCGGCCCCGGGGGTCGACTCAGGCGAAATATCATTAGTCAGGCGGCTCTCCACCACTGAAGTGGACAGCTTCTTCTTGTTCTTCTCTGAAGATCGGTTGGCTTTCTTCTGCTGAACACCCCAATCCTAAGCGGCAAATATATATTTTTAATGATTATACATGTTTACTTTAATACGGTGTGATATACATTATCTAAAAGATCCATATGACATGGCATTAATAAACAGGAAGGTATGATGCATATAACAAATCATATTGTGTTTAAGAGTTAAAGATTTTCAGTTGATTATTGGCTGCACAACAACGGCAGAAAGTGTTAAACGTAGCACAATGTGCAGATGAAACAACTAGTCAATCTTCTTCTAGAAAAGGTCCTGATGAGCACATACCAGATTGTTGAGTCTGTCCTCCAGGCTGCCATTGGTTACAGTCCAGTTGTGCAGCTCTTCTGCGCCGTCATCAAAAGGAGTCCCTCCGGTTGCCATGTCTCCCAGTTACAGCTGGAGGAAACGCACAAACAATGCACACAAGTCACAATGCAGAACTAACAATGAAGGTAATTCAAGCCTACATTCAAAATAGTGAACGAAAGGGGCAGATCATATTCAAGCAAACGGCTTGCTGGAACTCACAAAAAAGGAGACACTGATCCCGGACCTGGACCACAGAGGAACAAGCTCGCTTACACTTACTTATTTAGAATAATACCTAACTGTAATTAACTGTATGAAAAAGCGGATTCTGATCTGAAATGGGTTACTTAGCTAACCCTAGTCAGCTAGCTAGCCTAGTTAAAATAAGCTATTACTCGCCATAACTTAACAGTTATATAACGTTACATGTCTGTTAATCATACGGTTGGTAACGACAAGAGCTCACATTTATATTAAAGCATAACATGCGTCATGTCTTACCAACAGCCGTTAACTTGAACCACCCGAGCCTTACGAACACATTTTAAATTGTTTATTTGTACGTTGACGATAAAACGTTAGCTGTTTTGTGACCCGTCCGTTGTCGTTAGCAGCCGTTGGTGGGGGTCAGTGCGTGCGCTCGTGCGTGCGGCCCGCTCGGATTCCCGGGGAACAACAATGAGCGAGTTTGCGCGATGTTGCCGTTACTGCTCCGCAGAGGAACACACGCAACCGTTAGCGTAACGGGCAGCGATCACCGATGTCGCGCTTGTAGTTGGCTTAAACACATGATGGTATAGCTAGCGCAGTTAACGTTAACTTATTTTAGGTAGAAACTTTACTAGCTTAACATATGCGACCCGATTAGGTCCTACAATCGCCATGGCAACACGCAATACCACCGCACATCTAACGCCAACCCGCTGTTTGATGCTTCTTAGATGATCTAACGTTACCCAACAACACAACTCTAACGCTATCCGTGTCAACAAACAATGCCTCGTGCTAATGAGCGGCGAAAGTTGCCCCCAAAATGGCTAAGGTAACGTTAGCTTGCTAATGCTAACAATACCTAGCTTGCGAACAGCTGCTCACCACGGAGCTAACTTTAAACGTCACGATTAAAGTTTAAGCAAACAGGCGCCTCAACATTGAATCTGACCTGCAGCCTCTGACTCACCTGCAGTGATCAGGCTATTCTCGGGGTTGAAAAGTGTCGTGACAAACATTAGCTAACGACGAACGCAGCGGGTTTAACGTTAACGTCACCTCAAATGCAGTCTTCCATGTTATTTAAAAAATCCACTTGCTAACTTAGCTTAGGATGTAAGATAGGGAACGTGGGTATTACCATGCAGAGGGAAAGGAAATCTCGTTCCCTATCCCAGTTTACTTCATACGCTGCGGGAGATGTTTCAGAAATGTTCTCCGAGTCTGGTTAAAGCCATTTGATAACAAATAACGTCTTATAAATGCTCCAAGACGCAGTAACTCTCGGACGGGATCCCGGGCCGTCATAAACACTCCCATCCAGCGGGGGGCAGCACACGTCGGCTCGTATTCCACGGAAAGGAAGCGTCTCTCTGCAGGAAACTGCACTATTGTCGTTCGGTGTTCGTCCGACGACGTCGAAAGTAGTAACGTTTGTATACCTGCGCGTGGAGTCCGGTTGCGACCCGGGTGGGAAGAAAAACAAATAACGTTAGCTAAGTATTTCTTTTTGACATCCTCGCTCGTCGTCGTCGTATAACATCGGACTGTGGCCGCGAGGTTCCATTTTGCCTTCGCACCTAGTGAGCTGTGTCGTCGGTTAGCCGCTTAGCATCTAGAGCTAACGTGCGCTAGGCAACGAAGGACATTTTTGTTTTGCCCCCGTCAACAAACATTTCAATTACAGTTGTAAAACTGTTCTAACCGGCCGAGGAAATAATGGGGTCGTCCAAGAAACACAAGGAAAAAACTCGCGAAAAGGACGCAGAAGACCGCCGCCGCGAGCATAAGAAACATCGCCACAAGGACCGCGAGAGAGACGCTTCGGACCGCGATGCGACGCGCGATAAAGACAAACGAAAACGCTCCAGGTCCCGGGACAGAAGCGCGCGGGACCGCGGCAAAGGCGAGCGCAGCGCCGGCGAGCCGCGGGTGAAGAAGGAGAAAGTCGACGTCGGCTATGAAGAAGGCAAAAGCGACGTGGCGCCCCAGTCCGCGAGCGGAGACGCGTCCCTCAGCGTCGAGGAGACGAACAAACTCCGGGCCAAGCTGGGCCTGAAGCCCCTGGAGGTAAACGAGACCAAGAAGGAGCTTGGCACCAAGGAGGACCCGCTGGTGGCGGAGACCATCAACCCCGTTCTTATCAAAAAGCAGAAGGATATGAGGGAGAAGCTCGCGGCTATGAAGGAAAAACGCATCCAGAACCAGAAGCTGGGAAAAGTCAAGACCATAGCCGAGGAAGACTGGCTGGATGATACGGCCGCTTGGGTCGAGAGGAGCAGAAAGATGGCCAAGGAAAAGGAAATGGCGGATAAACGAGCCAAACTTCTGGAGGAGATGGATGAGGAATTTGGCGTGAGCAGTCTGGTAGAGGAGGAGTTCGCCCATAAGAAAAAGGAGTCGTACACGGCTCAAGATCTAAAGGGACTCAAAGTGCAGCACAAGGTGGCCTCCTTCAACGAGGGCCAGACTGTCATCCTGACCCTCCAAGACAAAGGGGTTCTTGAGGAGGAGGAAGACGTGCTCGTGAACGTGGGACTGGTGGACAAGGAGAAGGCCGATAAGAACGTCGAGTTAAAGAAGAAAAAGCCTGACTACAAGCCCTACGACGAGGAGGAGAACGTGGACGACATGGTTACCGTGAAGCCCCACGGTGTACTCTCAAAGTACGACGAGGAAATCGAGGGAGAAAAGAAAAAGAGCTTCCGGTTGAACACGGGAGGCTTCGCCGACGGCGAGCGAGAGCGAGAGATTCAAGCCATGAGGGAGGCGCTGCGAAACCAGGCGCAGTCCCTGGAAATGCCCGCTCTCGCCATCGCCTCGGAGTACTACACGTCTCAGGAGATGGTGGGCTTTAAAAAGACCAAACACCGCGTGAGGAAAATCAGGAAGAAGGAGAAGCAGACCGCCGTGGACGAGCTCAAGATCGACGACACCCGCAGCACGGATTTCGGCTCCAGGACACGCGGTCGAGGCCGCAAGCGGTTGGAGGAGGAAGGCGAGGCCGTGCAGGTGGACAGCGCCACGCCCAGCGATGCCCCCCAAACGTCCGATGATGTGCGGATGGCCGAAATGGAGATGAGCGACGAGGAGGACTTTACTCCCCCTGAGCCAACTGTGTTGGAGGAGGACGAGGCCGAGCAGGAGCTGCAGAAACAGCTGGAGAAGCAGAGGAAGCTGAGGCAAAAGCAGCTGCTCAAGGACTCCGGGGAGAAGGTGGCGGAGAAGATTAAAGAGCTCGATCAAAGCGCCAATGAAAATGATCCCGACCGGAAGAACAACATTGTTTTCAACGCCACCTCTGAGTTTTGCAGAACCCTGGGTGACATCCCGACGTACGGGCTGTCGGGCAACAGAGAGGACCAAGAAGACATTATGGACTTTGAGGAGAAGGCAGAGAAGGACGACGCCGGGGATTCCGACTCGGAAATGGACGAGAATGTCGGATGGAGCACCGTCAACCTGGATGAAGAGGTGAAACCGCCGGATTTTGCTACGGCCTGCGCCACCATTTTGGACGAAGAGCCCATCGTCAAGTCCGGCCTCGCTGCCGCTTTGCTGCTGTGCAAAAACAAAGGTCTGTTGGACACTGAAATGCAGAAGATATCCCGCGTGAGAGCAACTAAAGGCGCCCTGCCCAACGACAACTACTGCATCGAGGACAAGATGGGCTTCGATGACAAGTACAGTCGCAGAGAAGAGTACAGGGGCTTCACTCAAGATTTCAAGGACAAGGAAAGCTACAAGCCCGAGGTCAAGATCGAGTACGTGGATGAATCCGGACGAAGGCTCACCCCCAAAGAAGCTTTCCGCCAGCTTTCCCATCGATTCCACGGCAAAGGTTCTGGAAAGATGAAGACTGAGAGGAGGATGAAGAAGCTGGAGGAAGAGGCGCTGCTGAAGAAGATGAGCAGCAGTGACACTCCTCTGGGGACGGTGGCGTTGCTTCAAGAAAAACAGAAATCTCAGAAAACCCCATATATCGTGCTTAGTGGGAGTGGGAAAAGTATGAATGCAAATACCATTACCAAATAAGTCTGCAGCAAGAGTGAATTATCTTGAACACATACAATGACACAATAATTGATATACACACAGGATGTTTTAAGTAAAGTAAATGCCTACTTCATACAAGTTCTGTTGTAGTAAAGAATTGCCTATTAAAACTTACAGAAATCAGTCGAATGTTTTATAGTTTTCTGTGTTGCTAATGGAGACGTTGAAGGGAAACTTTTCAGGATTAAAATGTTCTGAATGTGCTATTGTAACAAATTGAAATGACTGTGGTCAGTTTAATGGCAGCGTTGCACATTCTGTGGCATGACTTAAATAACATAAGGCATTTGGGTTATTTATACCAAAAGTATAGTCAATGTATTCAGCTGTTTCAAGTAAATAAAATGGAAATACTCACAATGCTCTGTAGGACAGCATTGTATAATTGTTTTAAAACCCAGGAGAGTAATAATTACACTGCCGTAGTCGCTCAATGTTAAAATTATACGTTGTACAGAATGTGTAAATAATTTACCACAGAAACTGGGCTGATGGCCGTGCAGTCGGGGTGGGGTAGATTTTTCCAATTTGAATAAGCCTAGTTAGTCACATGGGAGGGCTGGGTGATAAAGTAAACATGGTCCCTCCAGTCCTACCAGACGTCTTTAACTATGACACGGCCTATTGGGACGTGTCCTGGTATTCCTACTTTAATGTATAGATCTGGACCCGCTAAAGAACAAGGAACATAATAAAACCACCATTGGTGAATACCACAGTAGGGACTTTAAGTTGGACTCAAAACGTGTTGATACAGAGGAATCCACAGATGTGACGGGGTCTTCGTTTGTGGATTCCTGGTCACGCGGTGGGTGCAGCCAGGATCTGATTTTTTAAGTATTGTTCACAACAAAACTAGTTAGTCAAAGAAGAAAATTTTCATTCGAGTCCCACGCATTCAGGAGACACATTGTGAGAAGATGGCAAGTTGTTTTTTTGTAATTCGCATGGGAAAACTAAATCTGTTGTGGCAGCAGTGCTGGGGTAATTAAGCATAGTAGGTGATAAAGTAGAATTAATTAAATAAGCAACTTGATAAACATGAAAAAGATACATATAGAAACATGCAGAAATATTAAATATATTATACTTTATAGTATAAATAGTATTTTGGGTTTATGAGAGTAAGTTAACTGTTAAAAAACGGGCACCAATGAAGACTACAACCAGAGGGAGGCAGTAATGCAAAGTCATGGCCGCCAAATAGAAGAAGAAGAACCTGTAGCCGAGTAGCCGTTGACCGACGTCCTTAATAACACGTCCATGAAAGTGGATAGCCAAGCTAACATCGGCGAGCTAACATCGCCTTCGCCCCACACGACATGCCCGGCCTTAACAGCTGAAGTCTCGCACGGTAAGGACCCGCCGCCGCTGAATCACGTCTCGGTGTCCCAAAGACAAGGACAGGCGGGGACAGTAGAAGGGACCTGTTTGCGGGACGTGTCGTGGGGGCTGTTTTGACAGCTTCCTGTTGTGTGGCTACTAGCTAGCTAGCTAGCAGCGCGCTTAGTGACGGACATTCTTTTTTTTCTTTTTTTTCTCTCAAATATCCCGGAAGTGGGGGTTTGTCTCCTTCCTCGAACCCGCTCGCCGTGTTTACCGGACTGTCCTACGCCACCTTGGCGAGGATCCGGTGGGTATCACTTGACTGTTGTCGGTAGGAACGCCTCAGCGAGATGACAGACGTGTGCTAACGGCTAATCCCGAGCCATATTTCGAGGGATTCCATGGATTTACCCGACGTTCGTTGTTGTAGCTCTTGTGACTTTTAACCTTGTCAAGATCAGCCGGCGTCCGTCGGTATCAACGTTACGCCGTGACGTGGGTGTGCAGCAGGAGGCTTACAGGTTTAGGATCTACGTGTCGATTTAATGCTTGCTCAAGGTTTAATATTCAGGAAACTTGAGCAGCAGGCTGGCGTGTAATGGTAAGGTAGGGAGGGATAAGTGGCCTATTTGTCAACTTCCATCAAGCTGTCCTCATAATTACTCCTTTCGTATCACTAATGACAACTATTATTGAGCTGTCACACTACGATGACTCGGTGAACAAACACATCTTCAGTTGTTTACATTAACAAGCTAAATTACACGGATGTGGGTTGATTTTGTCTTGATATTTCGATATGAGACTGGATATTTTTTTTATATTCACATTACCACATTTTAGTATTTTGTGAATGCAATACAATCCCAAAAGTATTGAGCCGAAATAGAGTGATATTAGCTTTTCTCCATAGAGCCCAGCCATACTTATATGATTAGTAGCACTGTCAGACCATTATTAGCAATATTGATCTTTTTTTTTGCCTTAACAGGCCAGATCTTCGCCCAGTGAAACTACAGTCTGTCGTGATGTCGGAGTCTAAGCCCCCCACTCCAACTCCCCCTGGAGACATGTACAAGGGTTGGCTCTTCAAATGGACCAACTACATCAAAGGTTACCAGAGACGCTGGTTTGTTCTCAGCAATGGACTGTTGTCTTACTACAGGTGAGTTACACATGTACGTGACTAAAGATTGAATTTTAGAGTTTTCCCTAGCTTAAAAGCATCCAGAGAGGGGGTGGGAAACACAAATGAAGTGTATTGAGTATTGCATACTGTATGCGCCGTTTTAAACACGTGCAGTTGCTTTAAAATACATCTAAAAAAAATGTATCTTAAAAAAAAAAAATTGATCTTTTTTTTGACCTCTCTTAATTGGGTTGTCTGCAGGACTCAGGCAGAGATGGGGCACACATGTCGCGGCACCATCAACTTGGCCACCGCCAACATTGCTGTGGAGGACTCGTGCAATTTTGTCATTTCCAACGGCGGCGCGCAGACCTACCACCTGAAAGCCAGCTCGGAAGTAGAGCGGCAGCGATGGATCACTGCTCTGGAGCTCGCCAAGGCAAAGGCCGTCCACATGCAGGCAGAATCTGGTGAGAGGGGAAAACTAATACGTTGGAGAATATGAAAATGCGTTGCAGTCCATGACAGGCAGAACTGTGCAGGGGGGGTTTGTTTGTTTTTGTGTGTAAAGCATTTCCCCCCCATGTATTAATTTGGTTTTGGTCATATTCTCTAACCCATTCTCTTCCCCCAGACGACTCTGGGGACGACTGTCCCGCAGTGCCCCCCTCCTCTGGACAGGGTGGAGGCTGCCGTAACTTAGAAATCCAGTCCACACTTCGCACACTTGGCAGTAAGGTGGAGGACCTCAACACCTGCAATGATCTCATTGTAAAGCACGGGTCTGCCCTCCAGAGGTATTGATTATCAGACGATATACGCCCCATTCCTTTTGTTTGGCTATTCCTTTTCTTCTTCGTTCATCCATTCCTTGATTCCAAACACACAGGTCTTTGTCAGAACTGGAGGGGATTCGTGTCGTAGGAGACATGGGGGAAAAGATGAGACAAGTTACAGAAAGAGCCACACTGTTCAGAATCACCTCTAATGCCATGATCAACGTAAGCTAACCAAGTGTTCGTTTGCTGCTAAACATTGTCGTTGATTCCTTGGGTCGAAACGTTGCTCTTGTTTTTGTGTGTCTCTCCCAAAGGCATGTAGGGACTTCCTCTCACTGGCCCAGAACCACAGTAAGCGTTGGCAGAAGGCCTTACAGGCGGAAAGAGACCAGAGGATACGGCTGGAGGAGACTCTGGAGCAGCTGGCCAAACAGCACAATCACTTGGAAAGAGCTTTCAGGGGAGCTACAGTTCTGCCCTCTTCATTCAGCAACCCCGCCTTAGCTAACAAAGGTATGGCTCTTGTCTCCAACTGCACTTTTTACTTGGCGCCCTCAATGTCACTCAAAGTGGGCTCGCTATGCTGCTTAATCCACGCCAATCAAGGGAGGCCAGTTCATCCATTGAGCCATTTATTTCTTCAACTCAGGTGGTGCTTCAGTAAAAGGGGATGCCAGCGACGAGGATGACGACAACGAGTTCTTTGACGCTATGGAAGACCCAGCAGGGTTCATCACGGTCCCCGCTGACCCCAAGTATCACAGGTCATTAACCGTCGGCCCTTTCTCAAATGTCGCAGACTTTATTTATCCATATATCCACCTTGATTTTATTATTCTGCTTCCCTTTGCACTGCTTTTGTTTTTAGTGTTGCTTGTCTGTCCATCAGGAGGTCGGGCAGCAACGTCAGTGGGCTCAGCAGTGAGATCGGAATGGACGAGCAGTCAGTAAACGTGTGTTGAGTTACTAGCAAGTTTGGATTCGTGTGGTCTCCCCTTGCCTGTCGACACGCCACAGTCGCTTGACACACGAAAAATATTTTCCTCCTCTTCTCCCAGTTTGATGAACAGTCTATGGTGTCCAACCCAGAGTCCCCACCGCCCCTTGAGCTAGAGCCTGTTCGACAGAGACGGACTCGCATCCCGGACAAGCCCAACTATTACCTCAATCTGTGGAGCATCATGAAGAATTGTATCGGAAAGGAGCTCTCAAAGATACCAATGCCTGTAAGAAACATGTACCCCTGTTGGCGTCCAAGTGGCCCTTTGCTTGTGAGAGTACTCCGAGGTAATCTGACTTCTCTCTGCGACCATGTGCCCACTAGGTGAATTTCAATGAGCCCCTCTCAATGCTGCAACGTCTGTCCGAAGACCTGGAGTACTACGAGCTGCTGGACAAGGCTGCCAAATGCCAGAGCTCTCTAGAGCAGATGTGCTATGTGGCCGCTTTCACCGTCTCCTCCTACTCCACCACTGTCCACCGCACAGGGAAACCCTTCAATCCTCTGCTGGGAGAAACCTTTGAGCTTGATCGGCTAAAAGATTGTGGCTACCGCTCTCTCTGTGAACAGGTATGTCGAAGGATGCTTCTGCAAGCATCTCTTAATTGTAGTGGTGTAAACGTGATTTGCAACCCCTCTTCTTAGGTGAGTCACCACCCACCTGCTGCAGCTCACCACGCCAGCTCTGAAAAGGGCTGGACCCTCAGACAAGAAATTACCCTGGCAAGCAAGTTTAGAGGAAAATATCTCTCAATCATGCCTCTGGGTGAGTGTGTTTAGTGTAAAGAACAAAAATGCCATTTCTATTCTTGGTGTGGGGGGTAAAAACGGACACTGGCAGGTTTTAAGACGAAGCTCTTTCCGTCCTCAGGTTCTATCCAGTGTTTATTTGACAAGAGCGACAATCACTACTCTTGGAAGAAAGTGACTACAACCGTACACAACATCATTGTTGGAAAGTTGTGGATTGACCAGGTAAATTTAAATCCTAACAAACTATTAACTGCATTACGTACCGCTTTAAAGTGTACGGGACGTGCGCATTTTATGTCCTCGGGAGCAGAACATTTGCCTTTTTTACTTGTTTCTAGTCAGGGGAGATAGATGTTGTGAACCACAAGACAGGAGATCGCTGCCACCTCAAGTTTGCCCCCTACAGTTACTTCTCCAGAGATGTACCAAGAAAGGTGAGCTCTTCTTTAAACGGCTGTTTTGATTCTTCTTCACAGAATGATGTATCTTAAAAGAAGTTAATTATAATTCCCTTTATGAGGTGTTGTGATATATTTTAGCATTGACACTATTTGCTGTCCTTCTCCCTCTTTAATGGGAAATGGGACGGACAAATTATTTGGAATGTCTTTTATGTGATGCAGTCCAGCACACTAGACGTCCTTTTAGCTCCGGGATATATAACGTAATTAACACACTTCAGCAACATTATAAACTCAGTAGAACGGAATGAATGGCAGAGCTGTAGTGTTTAATCGCGTCCCATGTGAGTCTCTGGGAGGACATTCTTGCATGTGATCCGTGTTTGTTCCTCAGGTAACTGGAGTGGTAACGGACAAGGAAGGGAAGGCCCACTACGTGCTCTCGGGAACCTGGGATGAGAAGATGGAGTTCTCCAGGATAATGCAGAGCAGCAAAGGCGAGAACGGCACCGAAGGCAAACAGAGGACCGTCTATCAGACCCTCAAAGCCAAAGAGATCTGGAGGAAGAACCCGTTACCGTGAGTGGAAGGTCAACGTGCTCGTAAAACTGAACGCCGCAGCGTAAGAATGGTCGCGCCTCTGACCTTTTTGGTTTATGTTGACGACTTGCCAGGGAGGGAGCAGAAAACATGTATTTCTTCTCCTCGCTGGCCTTGACGCTCAACGACCCCGAGGAGGGAGTGGCGCCGACGGACTGTCGGCGGCGTCCCGACCAAAGGCTAATGGAGGACGGCCGCTGGGACGAGGCCAACGCCGAGAAGCAGCGGCTAGAAGAGAAGCAGCGCACTGTCCGCCGGGAACGGGAGAGGGAGGCTGTTAAAGCAGCCTCTTCACCCGAGGAAGGTAATAAAAAAAAAAAAAGGACATATTTCAGTTTTGGGGTTTATCTACTTGTCTTGCCTCTTTTTGTCCACTTTGTGTCTTGAAAAACTTTGTATTTGTCTTAACCCTAAGCTGTCACTGAGGATTCAATCACTGATTCACCCTCAAAAAGCAAGTACTCTTCTTTCGCTCTTTTCCCACCCTTGATCATCACTATATTTTAGCGCAGCCACTTGTGGTCTCGATGTCTGCGCATGTAACGAGTACGTGCTTAATTCCTTCTTCTTCTTCACCGTCTTTCAAATACTTTCCCTGTTCATCCATTTCTGTTCCATTTAGCCGATGCAGTGGAGACTGGCACAGAAGCAAATGAGGTTTTTGATGAAAGCAAGTACCACTTCATTGCTTAACCTAAAATGTACTCTTAAGGTGCTTTGTGTAGCATCTGAAGGGATAGTGGGGGTGTTTTCAAAGTGGGGGTGTATGGGTGATGTGCTGCTGAGGATGGAGGCAGCAGTGATGGGTGTTTGTCACCTAAAAGAAAGATCCACTAAAATAACATTTATATGTGTTTAAAAATACATATACATATTTAGCCCTCAGGGTTTTCTTTTTGTTGCTTGAAGTCCTACACACAGCACCTAAAGTAATGAACACAGTATTTGTGTGGATTTGGATGCTGACTTGAGTTGTAGATTCACATCTTTCTTGTTTTTGTGCTGGTGTTAAGCTGACACAGAGGACTCTCCTCCCCTTACACCTGTTGCATGCAAGTAGCCTCTTTCATTTAATTTAATTTTTATTTTTTATCCGTCATCTTCACATTACACCCGACCTTTCATGTCTGAACTCTCGAAGATTCATCCTTAATTCTTTTATTTTCAGCCCCTTATGGACCATCACCTCTAAGCAAGTATTCTGATGATAACATAACACATACTTATGCAAATATCTCACAATTCCTAGCAACTTGATTAGATCTAGATTCAGACGCCTTCTGTTAATCGTATCCCCTTTACATCCACCTTGGTCTCTCTTAGTCGAAGGCAATGAAGGTCCTTATGGAGCTCAAATCAAATGCAAGTAACATCAGTTTGCTCTCCATTATGCCTGCTTCTATTTCATTTAGATGTGTGTTGGTAGCTTTTAGAACCCCGTAGAAGACTGTAGCTTAGTGTAGAATGGACACAAACCTAGTTTGTCGATATTTTAAAAATCGCATTCTGTCCGTGATTGCTCAGTTTACTGTGGTCGCGGGCCTTCGGGGCATTAGTGGTGAGCCTGGTCCTCTGCGGATGTAGTAGCGTCGGAGGAAATGAGTGATTTCATCGAGTAGAGCGCTCGTCATCTTTTGTTTCTGGCGGCGGTCGACCATCTTGAGGGCGCGTCGGCTTGCTTTTAAGCACGGTGTTTTCGTCATGGCTCAGTGGCTCCAACACCCTCACCTCAGGTCCAGTCAAAGCTTCCTCTTTGTGAAAGATTGTGTCTTTTTTTTATTTTATTTTTTTATTTTTTCTTAGGCACCCATCCAGACAGCTACCAAGCCTTGTGGTTCGAGAAGTTGGACGACCCCGTGTCCGGAGAGACCTTGCACGTGTACAAGGGCGGCTACTGGGAGGCTAAGGAGCAAGGCAGCTGGGACATGTGCCCGGAAATCTTCTGATCAGCTGAGTCTCCCTCCGTGGTGTACAAACCTTACATCCGCTGAAACGGGGGATTCAAGCCTGACGTCGAGCCGTCTTCGATCGCCGTAGCTTCAACTGATCGCCCCACTTGGTTTCCCCCCCCCCGCTCCTTGTCCAGCAGTGATTTGCTCAGGGTTAAAGGGCAAAATCAGACACGGTGACTAATTGTAGCATTCCGAATTCCCTCTCACTGCCTCTCAAACGCTGGTGTTTATCTTGATCCATGGCTTTTTTTTTCCTCAGTCCTTTCTTCTTTGGTACAGCCTTTGATTTGCTATCGGCCTCAAGTTGTTCTACTAATGTCATCATGCATTTTCTTTAAACGCACTACTATCAAAAGCATAATTCATACAGATGACCTCTTACAACATACAGAGTTTGTTTGGATAGAGCAACTACAGGATATGTCACTTATGTTTGTGTGTGTTGTGCACTCTTGAGTATGGATACTTTTGCAATGAATGAGTTTGATCCTGGCCTAATATTTAAAAAAAATCTCTACCAGGTTCAGACAGCATCAAATTAATAAATGCATCGGTTTAGTGTGTCTTGACACGAGAGAGAGAAATGTTGTTTCTTAAAGTAATTAATGATGTACTGTTATTGTCTAAATGGTTTGGCTTGAAGTGTCACAAACACAAAACCATGATACAACATTTGCCTTTGAATTAATGGTATTTTGTGGCTTTACTTACCTGGGGTATGCTATACACACACATATTAGCCTTTATAAGTTCTACAATTAATTAATCCATTCAAAAATTTGTTTGATTTTGTTTTTCGACATCATCCCAAATCCCCTGTAAAGAACTTGGTAGATGTGAAAGTAGCTCCTTTATGATTATTCCTGTCTTAATAAGGCTGCGTTAAATCCGGTTTGGTCATTTAAAAAAAAAAAAGTTTGTTGGTGATATCTCTCTATGTTTATAGAGATGTGTGTGTGTGTGCGTGTGTGCTATATATTATCTATATATATATATATATCTATATATATATATCTATCTATATATATATATATATATAAGATACTTATATACGCAAAGTTTTTTAACCTTTCTTTTCACTATATAAGAATCAATTCTAATGTTTTTTTATTCAGAAAGAATAATTACCATTTTCTATGTAGCACATTAAGTTGAATAAAATATATGTTCTTTATTTTATATGATACAATTTTGAACACTATATTAATTAAAATAGTGGTAGAAATGTATAAGTACCAATGAAAATATGAAGTAAAAAATTACCGATGGCACTATTTATTTCTTGTACTTTGTCTTTCATCAATTATTTTAAAGAGTTACTAAATCTTGTTTTTGAGTTTGTAAATTATTCCATCACTACATTACACTAAAAGTAGACTTTGTTCCCATTCTAAAGTCTTCATTCCAACAAAAATTATTTCCATTTCTTACAGATACAAAATCCGATAATTATGTCCTGTAAACCTCACGAGACGGTGAAAAAGCTCGAGGTCGCGTTGACCTGTTGGATAGACGACAGATAAAATGCTGGAAACTTGTAAAGGATAAAAAAGGGATTTTAAATCTATGTTGAACAGATTATTGAGAGTATGGGCGTCGTACAATTGCATTATAAGGTTTGTGAGATTTACTAATCGTTGTGTTTAAGATAAAAGTATTTTGATTCTCCACCAAGTACAGACGTGTATTTTCATACCTAAACTTTGTGCCCTCACTTCAATCATCAAAATTCTGCTCTTAAAGTTAATGCTTTACATCTGATTTCTACTTTCCTGATGATTAGTGAAGTAAAGGGACACATGAGGCAAGTTTGTATTTGTTTTTCCGGTTTCCCTCAAACATTTAAATAACAGCTTTAATCGTGGTGTTTTGCGAGTAGTTTTTTTTAACAGACAGCAATAACAGTGCCTCAAAATGAAATGTGTGAAGAGAGATTGCTAAAATGGCAAAAACTGAAATGTATCATTGTACTAGTCAGTGTTTGTCATATGAATGGAAGGACTGTGTGGTTGTTGCAAAATCTAAATTTCATTTTCTATTCAAGTGTACTTAAAACACTTAAAATGAGGATCTTAATACATGTTGTATTTCTGCAAACATATTAAACAGTAATGTAATCGTGATATTAACTGGTTGTATTGATAGATAATTTAATGGCTTTATGTTTTGTTGCTTTGTTCATTCATTCAGTCACCGTCTAGATGTCTTTATTTGAATATTCATTTGTTTGGTTCTGAATCATTCCCTCGTTTGATTTACGCTTTCTTCATACAACATTTAAGTAGATGCTGAAGACTGTGTTTGAGGAATGTACTGCTCGATACAACTCCATGTCTCTCAGATTTCAGATTTGACAGCTTTCCGGCTCTTCTGTCCCTTTCATTTGTATAATCTGGATTTTTAATCATGGCTCGTAATTTCTGAAGTTTTCTCCCTCGTTGTTCCCAGCTGTGTTTGCCTTGCAAAGTGGAGACGATCCCGATCCCACAACTCACCAAAATTGACTCACGGTGTACGAACGTACTATACATTATTCATCGTGCCCTAGTCGATGTTTGCTACCTGAGCCGTGTTACGTAATTGCAAACATACATACGTGTTAGAATTTACATATTGACTCACTGTTCTACAAAGTACTTTTGTATGCTTTAATGCAGTTTATTTTAGCAGGATGGGAGGGGTTAGTAACATTAAAGTATGAATTAAAATGCATATTGGTGTTTTTTGATTTTCCAAAATAATGCTCCACAAAGATGCTTACACTTGTTTGGAAGTGTTTTGAAAAGCTTTTGTGAACAAAAATAAAATAATTTTCTTCTATTGTACTTATGTGGTATTGGTGATACTTTACGTAGTTGAGAGGTAGTTGTTAAATTGTTAAATCTCTAAAGATGTATTATATTTATCTGTTACTAAATTAGCGTAAATTGGAGAACCTTAGAGGTACCATTTTAAATTAAAACCTTTTTCAAATTTTAAGCATTTTTAAGTGCTATATAAATACTGTGAAAGTATCGAAAACAATCACTGGGTGATTTTGTGGGAGAGCGTAACTATAAAAGTCCATTTTGTCCTCCAGAATATTTATGAGAAGAAATAACTACTGACTTCTACTGAAATCTACACATAAAGAAAGAAGACGTATCAGCCTCAGAAAGAGTGACTGAGTGACTTTTTACTGGGAATTTGGGGGATTTAGTCACCATGGTGAATTTAGTCTGAATTCGACACAGTAGAAATTTCACAAATTCCTGTGTTTTGGAAAAAAAGATGTTGGTGCCGGAAATACAGTCATACAAGACGTTAAGTTTCTGTATAGTTCTATGGAACATGGCTCCGCCCCTCCCTTGGAGAACCCACAGTAAGAACCCGCCCCTCCCTCAGGGGGGGCGTTAGGTATTAAAAGGAGCGCATCTCCGCCGCTGCGCGTCACGTCAACATCTGCTGGTCTCCACCGTTAGCTAACTCGCGTTAGCATCTATCCGTCTGCCGGGTTTCACAGGGTGTGTACTTTCACTGTGAGGTTACTTCTCCGAATCCGAAACATGTCGGTAAACGGACCCGGAGAAGACCGCACGGACGCGAAGACTGAGCAGTGAGTACCGGTTTATGTGTTTTATCTGTTAGCTAGTTGGCGATGTTTAACGTTGGTTACCAGCGCGCTCATTGTTGTACTCCGCTAGACGACGGACATGCGCAGATGAGCGAGCTGTTCTTCCGTAACATTTTAAAGCCCGTTAGCAGCACATTACCCGCTTATTGTTAAATGTTGTGTTCAGGTGTGTACAGCCGGACTGTTAATAGCTTTGAATCACGCGCGATGCATTCGGCACTGAAACAGGCCTTTGGCCCTAATAAAGGATCCCTCCTTCCTTTCTGTCGAGCACTGCGTATAACGTGTTGTCTTACTGGTGTTCATGTGTTTTCGTTCTCCCTCAGGTCGGAGGTGTCTTCGTCAGCTTCTGCCCCAGAGGAAGTGGACGCTAAACCCAACGTCCACAGCTTCAGATACAGCCTGAGTTTCCCCAGCATCGGCCAGTGCATCATCATCAACAACAAGAACTTTGACCGAGGAACAGGTGTTTATATTTTACCTTTTTTTTCTGGTCAAAGCAGTTGTAAATTAATGTGAATAAAACCGCTGTGAGTTTTTAAAAAGCATCTGGAGGTAATATTTACGTACTTTTTGTCACATTAATCTTTTAACACAATAACTAATAATTATCCCAACAGGCACTTTTATACACAGATGTACAGCTAAAGAATTTCAGAATGTTTTATTATGACTGGCTCCGTAAATGTAAACCAAAGCAGCCGGCGGATCCAATGTTTAATAAGCGTTGTTAGATATTTCATTGGGCGCAGGGGGAGCGCTAGCTGTGGTCGGGGAGGCTGATGGATCCTTCATTGTTTACAGCAGTTTACCGTCCAAACTTCACTGTGGCCAGACCGCAGGTCTGACGATAATGTGCCCTGGTGTTGACAGCACCATGACGGGGGTCAATCACCTCGCAGACACACCTCGTGAGAAGACACGAGTGTGCTCAGGGGACCCAATTTCCTCTTGTTGCTGTGGATCCCATTTAACCGCATCCCAAGCCAGTTTGTTGGGCAAAGAAAGCTGTCCAGCTGTTTGCTTTGGTGAAAATGAGAACAAGCAGGCGGTTGTACTATTCCCGGTGTGTATCATCATTTAATTTCATTAGACCGTTCATGCAGCAAACTGTCAGCGGCTATTCAGGAAGTTCAGGTATGCACATGATTCGCAGCGACTCGGCGTGCGTCTCATGCAAGCTCATGCTTCGATTAGTTCCTCTTTTCGCTTGGGTGGTTGTCGTGTGAGACTTTGCCTGTGTTCATCACCTTCTGCCCGTAAGGCACTAAAATGAATTTGACTTCCTTTTGGATAGAAATGCCCGATGTCCACAGTAGTTGGAGAATCAGATGTGTGAAAACTTTTATTCATTGTGAATAAAAAGCTGAATTGTACAAAATGTTTCTTAGAAGACTGCATATCAGTGAATACAGTTTGATCTGCATCAGAGTTACTGATCTCTTTTCCCGTCAGAATTGTGTTTCACAAACCCGTCTAGCAGGATTAAGTACACATGACATCTGAGACAACAATGTACACATGACATCTGAGACAACAATGTTCCAAGCGCACATCATATATTACACGGGTCAAACAAATATTCCTGTTGTGGTAAATGCGTGTTTACTGTAAATCCCCAGGCACTTTTCTGACTTGGGGCATTCTGTCAAAGAGCCAGATTTGCGTAACCGCTGTTTGTGAAACAAAGCCGGTGACACGTTTTACTAGCTAACAAACTACAGCCGTGTTCAATCCAGTGAGCGACTGTTGGCCTGGGGGCTGGACGAGGTCGTCTAATGGCACGCAACATGGCTGTCTGCTCTATACTTAGTTTAACTCTGTATAGTTCTATTAATACTCTCACGATCCACCAAACACCGTAGGAAAGCACCAAACCTCACTGGGTAAAGAAGGTCGGAGTTGAACACAAAGTGTTTCTACATCTGTGAACGGCAAGAGATTCCAAAACAATGTTTAAAATTGAATTAAAGCTTAACCGCAATGGTTTTATTAATTATTCATTTAAGGCATCTTTTGTATTTAACTACCTGTTGCATAACACAGGCGTTAATAACAACGTTAACAACGGTTCTGTTTTGTGTCCCACTCGTCCATGACTGCACGACGTTGAATGGTATTCAGCCAGCAGTCAGTGTGTCATCAGCTGTGCACGTGTTCCTTTTCTGGCTGATTAAGTTGCCGATATGTTTTAGCAAATGTGAGGTCACCAGATGTCGATACCAATAAGAAAAGGTGCACCGTACAAGTTTGTGCAGGTTGAGTCAAACAAAAAAGTCCTCCAGCGTCCCTGGCTCTGAACAACAAACAGAAGGTGCTACCAAATAGTAAAAAATAATGCTTAACACATCAATGAACTGGATTCTTTTGTTTTTGTAGGGATGAATCAACGAAACGGCACCGATGTAGACGCTGCCAACGCGATGAAAGTGTTTGGAAATTTGGGCTATAAAGTGAAGGTTTACAATGACCAGTCGGTCGCGCAGATACAACACGTTTTAACATCTGGTAAGTCTGTTGCAGAAGAGACAATGTATGTCTTTACTGTCATTGTGTATTAAACCCTTCATTTGTTTTTTTTAGTGTCGAAGCAAGATCACAGCTGCTCTGCTTCGTTTGTCTGCGTTCTGCTGAGTCATGGAGATGGGGACTTGTTCTTTGGTACGGACGGCCCTGTGCCGCTTAAGAGTCTGACCTCCCTTTATCGAGGTGATCGCTGCAAGTCATTGGTGGGAAAACCCAAACTCTTCTTTATCCAGGTATTGTACCTTTTAGGTTTTTCTTGTCTTGGGCCCTGATCAAATGTTTACACTGGTCTTGTTTTTGTTTACACGTCGAGTAGGCTTGCAGAGGCACAGAGCTAGATCCGGGCATTGAAGCAGACAGTGTAAAAGATGAAACTACCAGGATCCCCGTGGAAGCCGACTTCCTCTATGCCTTCTCCACAGCGCCAGGTTAATGAGCGCACACGCACACAGTCTTCTAGACTACTTGTTACGCTTTTTCACTTAACATTCACTTATTCCATTACTTATCTGCCTACAGGATACTACTCATGGAGGAACACTACAACTGGGTCCTGGTTCATGCAGTCGCTGTGTGACATGATCAGCAAATATGGAAAAGAATTGGAGCTCCAGCACATCATGGTTCGAGTCAACCACAAGGTGGCGGTGGCGTTTGAGTCTGTCTCCAATTCCCCCGACTTTAATGCAAGGAAACAAATCCCATGCGTTGTGTCAATGCTGACCAAAGAGATGTATTTCTCCCCTTGATGTTGCGAGAGAAATGCCATTTTTAGTTTAAAGTTCAGCTCACATATTTGTGAGATGTGACAGGCACATTTCAAAAGCTTGACATTATAAGGTTCCTTCTGTGGTGAGTCCTGCTCTGAGCTGTGAAGCGTTGAGTCTGCATTTTTTTTCCCTTTTTTTTAATTTTTTTATAACCATTTTGAATTCACTTGTAAAGATTCAACCTAAAATAATAGGTTACTTAATGGGAGTAAATATACCATGAATCTAAATTATCGAATGTAATTGAGCCTTATAATTCCAAGCTCATTGATCAATGCCTCTTTGTATCAAACACCTTTCAGGGAAATGTATTGGGAGCCAGTTTGACGATCTTTTTATATTTGTTTGATTATGAAAACATGGATGGGTTTGACTCAAGTTTCTAAACTATTGTACTATGACAGGATCATGTCATTTCTTTTTTGTTTTTAAAAGTGACAAGACTTAAAGGTTAAGACTAAACTAATCAATCATTCACTGAAATATTAGGCTTCATGAATGGTGCACTTGGTAAGTAAATTAAAGGATAATGTTGTCTAGTGAATTCAGTAACACCTAGAAAGCTATTGTGAATTATGTTTTTGGGTTTTTTCCTACGGTTTCATAGAATGGATGAGAAAAGCCAGCCTACTTGCACGATGCTTTCATTTGCGCAGATCCATACTTGAATACATGTTTACATTTCATCTGAGGAAAAGATGTTTTTTTTTGTTGTTTTTTTAAAGGTTAAAACCACAAACTGGGTTCTTTTTCACTTTGCAACAATGATTGCCCATCACAAATCTTTGTAAGAATCCAGGTGCTGGTCATTAGTGAGTAAATATTAACATTTACGGCAAACTAGCCGAAAATCACTTTTAGTGTAGACAAATCACTGTTTTTATGTCATAGCAATACACAACTTTGCTATGGGAATTGCCACTGGCTGTTTTTATATCACTATTTTGTAACCAGTGATACTTTGAGGTTTGTGGAATGTTTTTGTTTTTTTCTGATAAACACTTTTCCTTCTCTGTTGTACAGCTGTCACTGATTTAGTATCAATCCCCTGCAAAGCCGCCGGTTTGATCTACAAAAGTACTTTATTAAAGCTTCCTAAATGTGATGTCATTATATGCAGAACATCATTGCACCGTATCATTCATGACATACTGCCAATGACCAATTGCAACCGATCAGTTCATGGCAAGAAAAGTAGGATTTTGGGGGATTTTTTTAATCCCAGGTGGACATTCAGAGGTGTAACATGTCTTTGAGCATCATGGACGACTCTTCTCACAGAACGGAGATTAAGGGGACATTTTTAGCATTTAGGGAGCATACATCGGGACGGCAATATTAAAATAGGCGTCTTTTTGTGGCTTCTGGAATGAGCCGTTTTATTATTTACTCACTGGCGTGTAGGTGTCCTTCGTCCTCCTGCAGCTCTACTACAAACCGCCACCTCCGCGCCAAAGTTCAGTTACTAAATCCTCAATGTCCTTCTGCAGCCTGATGGCATCTGCCTCAGCAGCTCCAGAGGGACGTCAACTTTGAAAGACACTTTGGTTTTGTCTTGCTTTTTGTTTTAAGGAGTCTCTTAAATGTCCGTTACCAACAGGGAAGCACGATAACATTTTACAATCTTATCAGACTATTATAGCTACAGCAAAAGAATCCTCCGATGACAAAAGACCAACATGGAGCTCCGACCTAAATGAAGAAATCACTGTAGAAGAGTGGAGGGACATGTCTACAGTCTTAACAACTTCCATTATGTTCAAAACTCTGTCATTTCGGTTGTTTCCCAGCAAATGGTACTAGCAAAAATAAGAGATGGGCTTACTTTGCCTTCTTGAAGCTAAGTATAAAATCGCAATGGCTTAGAAATCCGTTATGTGTGTGTGTTTGTGTCTGACATGTTCTGTACGCCCCAGTGTGACAGTGTTCTCTGTCAGTCATCATGCAGAGTGAGCAGGAATTCTCTGAGCGGATATTTCTTGGCTGAATGGGACGTGGCCGGTGAGTGTGTCTGTCTGTCTGTGTGTGTGTGTGTGGGAGTGTGTGTGTCTCGTGATCTGCTCTGTAAATTCTCACATTTTATGAAAGAGCTGATCTGCAAATAGCTTTGAGATGATTATAGCTTATTTCTTGGGTTACACCCGAAAGAGTTAGACAAAATATATATTAATCTTGTGTACCTGAAGTGTAACGTGTGGAAAATATTCCTTTTTGTTTGTGATAAAGAACAAAAAGAAGCGATGCCTGCTCGGGGTTTGGTGAGTCTGTTCATGAGTTCTTAGCAACTCCTCTAATGTCCTCATGGGGTTTATTTAAATAACAGTTTGTGACACAAACATGGTGGAAGAAAAAAAAGGAATCAAAAAATATCCAAATGTGAAAAAGTTATTTTACTTTTGATACATGAAGTGCCTTTTAGTTAAGCTTATGCAGGATTTAACTTATTGTTAAATTGTGACTTGTGACCTAAAATGTCTCCCTCATGTGCTCAGATTGGAGCATCTCTCTTTGCCAGTTCAGAAGGCCCAGGTCTGTTTATATTGGTTCGGTCGGTACCGGAGCTGCAGGAGGCATCACTGTCACTGGTTTTAAATGGAACGTGAGTAGACAAACACCACATGTCCCACTCATCCATGACATCCATGGCTGCCCGACGTTGAATGGTATTCAGCCAGCAATCAGTATGACATCAACTGTGCAGGTGTTCCTTTTCTGGCTCATTAGGTTTGTGAGGTCACCAGATGTCGATTTTTTTTATATCACTATTTTGTAAGCGGTGGATCTTTGAGGGTGTTTTTCCTGAAAAAATAAACACTTTATATGTTTGCAATGTTTACTGAGGAAATAAAGCAAGTGAGGAGTAGGGATCGTCTTCATTGACTTCCATATTTCACCCCCTTTATAAAACCATATGAGTCGCCCCCTGCTGGTCAGAGAGAGAATGCAATGATGAGCCACATCCGCATTGGCTCCACGGGATAACTCTTGTCTCATTTGTGGTCTGATCAACAGTAAATGAATCAGTTGAGTGCTCTATGCCATATATTTATAAAGGCTTTCATCATTTTGAAGTCTGCATGGTTTCATCACCACTTAACCACTTGTTTTGCATTTTATCCACATAACGCAATGGATGGACTATAATTTGAAATTTTATATTTCAAGGTACTTCCCTATGAGAATCTTATTTGATGGTATTGATTCAGAAATATTTTATGTATTTTTATTTTACTTAGTACTATGATTATGAATATGATTTATATGTAAATGTGTGTTCTGTGTGACAGTAATTTACATTTGGTGAAAATAAAGATAAAGTACATTGTAAACTAAATTGTGCAGGTGTTTTACTGTTACTAGCCACTTTTTTGTCACAATTTAGTCTTGTTGAGACTTGATGAAATTCGTAACGTGTTTTACTTCATACGTCAAACATCAACATAATAAAGGCGCACATTGAGGGTCCTTTAAAGTGTAAAGTGGGAGTTTACGCGTGTCCCCTGAACGCAGCACAAGTCCTCGCCTCTTTAGTCGCTGAAAATAGGCCCGAGTTAATACTCTTTGACATTGGGTTATTTGGATACCGCGCACGGCGCGTCAGGTGGCTCATTTCCCTGATTTTTCATGCAGCACCTGTGTTTGGACTTTTCCAACGTCGTGCTGCAAAACTCCGGATCCGCCCAAACCCCATAGTCCATCTTTTGAACCCCTGTCAAAACCGGTCTTTTGGACAGAAACGTAAGAGTCGCGCGGTCCAAAAGACGTCATACAGCGAGGACGCACTAGTTGTTTGTTTTTGTAGTTAACTTTGCGCGGGGGGGGAATGGAGAAGTCCCTTCCCGTCGCTCCGCACTGCCTGGCCCTGGTGCTGTCGCAGGTTCGCGGAGAAGATGAAGAGCGCTCCCAACTACCACCACCCACATTATCATCACCACCACCACCACCACCACCGGTGCTCCATCACTCCGGCTACCAGGTGTTCGCCGACTTCAAATCCGTCAACATGCGGCACTTCTGGAACAAGGCGCTGACGCACGCGCTCGCCGAGGTCTTCTTCCTCGGCTGGATCGACGAGCACGTGCTGCTGATTCGGGGCGGGGAGGTTCACCTGCAGGTCCTGAGGAACGGATGGAGCCGGCGGACCCTGCAGCCCCCGCGGGGCTTCGCCATCCAGTGCATAGGTGCGTCTGTTAGGGTCAATGCTATTACGCTGTACTTATCTTAAAGCTGCACAGGCTGGACTTCGTTCCGCGTGGACGTGTGTTGGCGCGACGGAGAAATGGCTTTAGGGACACGCTGAAGTCCCTCTGGGCTCTGGACACAAAGGTCGCCTTGTTGGGTTTCAATGGGAAATGTGCCCTGCGGGCATGGCTCCAGAAACCGCACATCATTGCAGAAGACGGGGAATATTTTAAATAAGTCGCACACATTAGGGATAAATGCGGGTTTGGAAAGTTTGGAGTGTTTTTTTAAGAAGTAAAGTTTGCATTGGTAATAACATGTCATTAAATCTAACAACTCTTGAGCACGGTCTGTCAGGAGACCAGTAGCGCCACTTCAATCTGAACTCTGGTTGACCATATTAACTAGGTCATTCCAGAGCAGCAGATGTGAGACTTTAGTCAGAAGTAACAAAAATGAGGACATGGACTCAGACTCCCCAAACCTGAGACTTGACCCGTCTTGAATAATGTTGAACTGGGGAAGTCTGGTTCCAGATGTTGAGGCTACTGCAAAACAAACTTAAGAAATCAGCAACCTTTATCAGAGATGGAGATTTGTCTTGAGGTGTGAACTTTTCTCAGACTTGATTCAGTCAACACGGTCCGACAAGGGACATAAAAACGACTTTGTGTGTTATCGGTTTTAATTTGTGGCTGCTGTTTGTCCCTGCAGTTACCTTTTGATTATCCCAATATCTTTCAGATGGATTTAGCTGCAGTTGGAGGCTCCCATGTTTACTCTCATGCTGATTTCCACACCTCTTTTTAGGGCTGGCCAATGCTGCTGGCTGGTATTCTGCCTCACAGGACTCTCTTTATTTATGATTGTGAGAGAAATTCATTTCCCTCAAGGTTTTTACACAACATTGTTTACTCCCTCTGTGAGTCCAGACAGGTTGCATGAAACCAGTCGTAGTCCGGTGCATTCAGGCGGCATCTCATCTTCTAACCTCGGCTGCTTGATTGTCGGGCAGTTTGCTCCGTCAGGATGAGGAGACAACGTTCCCGCACCGGCGCTCGTCTTCTCCTGACAAGGCTAGAGCCGGCGTATGTGCAGGGAAAAGTTTATCCGAGAGTGTGTGCAGATGGGAGCAATGCGCGGAGCTACGGGTGGATTTCAGCGTGCGTCGTGTGTTCTGACTCCCACATCACAGCTCCTTTTTATACCTTATTGGATTTCTATTCTGCGCTGCCAGGCGTTGATGGTGTTGAATTAAAAAGGCAGGTTATAGTCCAAAAGGTCAGCCTTAAGACGATTACGATCTTGTGCCACTACTTATTTTCGGAGTCTCTGTCGAGTGTAAGTGACGTAGCGTCAGTGACACTGCTGGAGCAAACACAGATAAGCTGTGGAATGTTTGTCTTATAGCTAATAACTCACCAGACTCTTTAACGGCAAAGCCAACGGAGCTCATGGGCTGTTGCTTTTACACGCAGATGAGGCGGCGATACATTTTTCATCACTAAACCCGTAATCTACGGGATAAATGAACCCAGAACGCGACCAATTGTGTAAATTCACATGGGGACATGTGGCCCTCACAGTACTGGGCAGCGTCATCAAGCTTCAGTTTAAAAGTGAGCTCATTTCTCAGGTGCAAAATGTACAAAGTTTAGGACAAATTATGCTTTTAATGACGCTGTGAGCGTAGCCATCGTGGAGATGCTTTTTTTTTTACTCACAGCTGACTGCTCCATGTTTATAAAGTGCAGATTATTCACCAAACTGCCTCAGAGTTTGATTACAACCAGGAGCCAGAAAAGTAGCCGGATTACAACATTTAGACTAAAGTTGTGGATTTTCAGCTGTGTGAAAACAAGTCGTTTGTTCTCAATACCGACAATTCAATCTGATTATCCGAGGGACTTTGTATCCGTTAGCAGGATGCAAACAATGGGCCTGGGAGGAGCGCGTGCTGTTAGGGAAGGAAAAGTGGAGCGTTGGTTCAGGAGAACACCGGGGCACCACCAGAGAGGTCTCCCCTGGAAGGAAAGGGAGGGTCCGGGCGGAGAATCGGGGGGAAATGTTTCACGCAGCAGAGGCATTTGTTGCCGTATATCATGATGTCAGATGTGTAACGTAGACTTGTGGGCTGCGGCAAACGGCTATTGTGACTCTTTATTCGGTGTGTGTGGCTGTGGGAGAGCGGTGTGTTGTCCCTAATGTTCCACCGGAGGGCAGACCGCCGGCAAAAATGGTCCCGTTTGCAGGGAAGGTGGATGAATTTGTAGCAGGCCACAAACCCTTGAAAGTGTTTCACATCAGGATAGTGCTTTCCCACTAGTGATATGTGACTCTGGACACTATTCAACGCAGGGTTACATTTGATTGATCGTTCATTGGCGACACGCATCTTGAGACAAAAATCCAGTTTCACTCTGTTGATCTCATCTGACACACAGATTTCAACACAATGCAACATTTTTAGCGACTTTAGCAAACTTTGTTTGCTAACCCTAACCCCTAACCCTTTGTTTGCTAAATTGTTGGCGAATGTCAACATCCATAGAACATCAACATCATATCCTAAACATGACAACGTGAGCATGGTAACATCTCAATAATAATGCGGCACATTAATGACGTTTATTAGCTAAAGTCCAATTTAGCGGCATCAAGTCCATCATTGATACGTGTTCTGATATTTATTGAGTTACATATTTTCGTCTTTCTCTCGAGCAAGATGTAAGAAAAGAGTGAAGAATGTCCATAAACCAACTGTCCCAAAAGACATTCAGTGTACTGTGCACCACGAAAAAGTATTCAATTGTCACGTATGACCAGTGGACGTTGACAAGATTGTTTCCAATCATTTTTCTGTGAAGCCAATCAATTAAATTGACTAAACGACTCTAAGTCCCTAACATTTGCAGTCGTTGGGATCTTGCATAGGACATCTTGCTTGTACTTGTTGTCGTGACACTGGAGGACCTCGGCGTTCTCCGTCCACGGGCCGCTCGGTCCCCGTCTCTGTGGACTCCGTCTGCGTCTATCTTGAGTGACTGTCTCTTTAAGGGAGCGGGCGCTCAAAAGGTAACAGCTATGAGATCATCGGCTTGCGTCGTCATAGCAACAAAGGCTGTTGCAGTACTACTGAGAAATAAAATGGCTGGCGAGTGTCGCTCTCCCTCCTCCTTCCCCTCACCCCTCCTGCGCTCCGTCTCCTCTTTCTCTGTGGTATCAGTGAACTGGAGCAGATTGGTTGTGACACCACCTCCTCCTCCTCCTCCTCCTCCACCCGTGGCCCGTGCTGCCCTCTCACTTTGCTCCTTATTCAGTGCCTCAAAGCCGTCCCTTCACACTCCCCACATGTGAGTCAGCAGGAGTGTGCAGCTAGCAGGAGCTGCCATTCTGCTTGTTATTAAGGGGGAGCTGCTCCACGCCGCGTCGGTGACTGAATCAACCGGTGGGAAGCGCTGAAAAAGACACAAATCGGGACATTGTCAAACGGTTGTGGCCCCTTTGGTTGTGGCCCTCTAAAGTCTCCAGCTTCAGTGGGAGTCACAAAGAGGAAACGGATGGAGGTTTGAGAGTCCCCTCATCCTTCAAGAGCAGAGGGTGAGGATGGAAAACATATAGCTAAATATCCAGACCATCCGAGGGCTGAATCTCTCCCTCCCTCTCCCCCCCCCTCCCTCTCTCTCTCTCTCTCTCTCTCTGAGACGCATGCTCACGCAGAATCGCGCGCAGCAGGCGGATGCGCGCATACACACTTTCTCTCACACACTGAGACACACACACACACACACACACATACTCACACACCCTTCCTGGAGGTGCTGGGAGCAGCTGCAGCATTAGCGTTGAAAGAGATTTGCCGTGGACTGGAGTTTGCCCCCCCTCCCCTCCTCCTCCTCCTCCCCTGCCCCCCTCTTAATGAATGGATGCTACGGCGATAGAATCGGGAGCTTCTTCCGTTGGATTGCGGGAAACGGTGGATTTCTATTCTTGAAATTTATTTATTTATTATCTATGCTCTCCATTTTTTCTCTCCCCACCCTCTCCTGGTGTGCTGTTGTCGAAAGGACGATGGGGTTTCGTGCTTGATCGGATAAAGATGGAGGTGAACGCGTCGTTTCCGGTGCTTTGCATACTATTGAGGTTTTGTTGCCCATTCGGGTGACTGGAGCTTTTATTTCATTTTTTTTAAGTGGGCTCTTTTGTTTTCCGGGGATCAGCCGAGCACTCCTGTGGTGAATTGAGCTGTTGTCGGAGACCGGGCCTCTTCAGCTTTGAATATTTGACCGTCCATCCATCGCCGTCCCCCCCCCCCCCCCCCCCGGAAACCCTAATCTAAAATCGAAAAACGCCACAAAATGCCCCTCCTAAATCCCTCCTCACCGTCCTCCTCGCTTCCAATGCCCCATTTCCCTCATCTCTACCCCGGCCCCCCCCACCACCACCACCACCACCACCACCTCTCTCCTGCTCCCTCCTCCCACATCAGAGCGGCTACGTAATGTGCCTCCCTACGCATGCAAATGGGGATGCTACAAATGGTGGCTGGGACTGATGCCGATGAAAGGGTGATGCCTCGCGCAATCACCTGCACCGCCACCGCCACCACCACCACCACCACCACCTCCTCCTCCTCCTCCTCCACCACCTCCTCCGCCGCCGCTGCTGCCGTCGCTCCGGATCAGCCTGGGAGAGCCCAGCAGCCCGCCTCAGCCGCCCACAGTGCGCACACAGCCGCCCGTCGCCTGCCCGTGGATGTAAATGAGACGCGCGTATGTGTGTAGAAGGCGCACACTGGCTCCTGCCATGTCTGGTGTGTGATCGCTCTAGCGGGACGTTCCTACTGATGCGGGGGAGGCACTGAGCCTGAGGTTGGTCGACCTCCCCCTGCACCCCCCCCCTCCCCTCCCCTCCCCTCCCCCTTCCCTCCCCCCCTTTCCCCTTTACCCATCTCCCTTCCTCCTCATTCCACCGGCCAACCCCCTGCCCCCCCCCCCCCCCACCCCCCTCCCTCCCTCCCTTCCTATCCCAGCCCCGCGGGGGGTGAAGGCCACCTGGCAACGGGGTCACGATGAAGAAGAACCGCAGCAGCAATCTGCGGCGGGCCTGGCCCAGCTCGGAGCACCCGGAGCGCCCGGCGGAGCACAATCCCTCCCGTGGTGAGAAAGACATCCGTTTGCAGAAGCAGCACCTCCCCCCCCCTCCCGCTCCTCATTTCTCTCCGTCCCCACCAGGTTATCGTGCGCCAGGTGAGTCTTTGTGTCACTTCCTACCAAACGCAGGCTCCGCCCCCTCCTTTCTCCACGCGGCGCAGAGAGCAGTTTGATTTGGGGGGCAGAAAAGAAGTGCAGGTCGAAATGTTGGTACTATGAAGTGGGAAATGATGACAACTTGCCTTTTTCGTTACTTGTAATGTCTAATGGATGAAGTGAGGTCCAATAGTAATTTTGTGGGTCCCAAAAAACATTTTACGTCCCGACATTATTTTATTATATATATATATATATATATCGTGTACTACTATTACTTTCATCACCTCTGTCTTCCTTGCTTCATTGTAAGGTGTGAAATGTAAATTCTCGTGCCATTGTATCGTACACAAGCACCGGACGGGGGTTGAGCTTCTCTCGTGCTTACAAAAAAAAAAAAAAGAAACGAGTAAAGCCTCTCAAAGCCACGTAAAGCTTAAGGGGCTGTGATACTAGGCAGAGATAACGTCATCGTGTTGCTTCACTGACCGTTCAGTTGAGTGTGGCGAGGAGGCAGCGCCCTGCACATATCTCAGCTCAGGTGAAAGAAGGGTACTAAAAATGAGCAGAGGACTTAAAACGGCCGAGGCAACATTAACTAGTGCGTTTATCCGTCCACATCAGAAGACATAAAGTACAGCGTATTATTTTCTCATTTCATCGCAGAACTCTCCATTGATCACCAGATTTAGGTCAGAGGACGGCCACAGCGATGGGTGCACTGTGCTGCTGTGCAACCGTTAAGCAGGGCAGATGTTTGCTCTCGGAGGGGCTTGAAGCCGGGCCGTCTGGTTGTAGGATGATCTCACCACTCACTACTGCTGACAGCGAAAGCCAGCTTAATTCAAACACGGGCGACAGAGAAGGTCTGCGCCATCGCCAGTTGGGGGTTTGTTCAATTTGAAAGGCGTCGGGTTTTGGTTTCTTCCGTTCGCGAGCTTGCGTGAAACGAACCGCGACGCAGGTGATCTCACGCCACGGCTGCAGCTGCTGCTGCCTCGTTATGCTAACCCACGAGCAACGGGAGGAACGAGAGGCGGGAGGAAGCACGGAGGGGAGGGGTGGAGCTGTTGGAGGCGGCGTGCAAACCTGCTGCCGTTTGACCATTACATCATAGCTCCACACGCTGCGCCTGCTGTTCATTCATCATCTAACGGTTGTGCCTCCTCCTCCTCCTCTCCTCGTTCCTCCTCCATCAACCCCCACCCTGCTGCAGGTGACGTGTCTCCGATCAGCATGTCACCTATCAGCCAGTCACAGTTCATCCCGCTGGGGGAGATCTTGTGCCTGGCCATCTCCGCTATGAACTCGGCCCACAAGCCCGTCAACCAGGAGGCTCTGGTGGAGCACCTCACTGCCACCTTCCCAGGTACGCTCCTCTGACCTCATGTACAAAGCAGGAAATATCTATTGTGTGGCACGTTCTTGGTCGGAAATGAGCATTTGGTGCAAATGGCAAGGTGAAAAATGGTGTTAAAAATGTGTTCTACCTGGTTTATTATCTCTCTGTTGTTATTCATTAGTTTCATTTTATACACGCCAGGTTCAAACAGCAAAGTAAGGATGCATGTAGGCTTTAAACATCTATTGATCTCCCCTCAGGCCTCTGACACACTTCAGTGATTGAGCGTCGAGATATTTTATCCTGTAAAATCTTGCATAACGGAGATGGATATAAAACAATTAGTCATTGAAGCGATGAATAAATTGGGACTTCTGTGTTGGAAGAATAATACATGGGAAGACATCCCATTGAGAAAAGATGAGCGCGCAATACATTTCATAGTAAACATAACACGCAGCTCTGAACTAAAATAATAAATACTGTAAAATGTAGATGAACAATTTAGCTCCGGACGATTTTTCTCTATCCATATAGTGTGTTTGGTTTAATTCTCAAGTAACTCATTTTTTCTATGAACAAAGTCCCAATAAGTTGTTGAAGTAAATTGAAGGACCTCAACCAGACAAGTATCATCAGAGTAGCACATTGCAAATTCTAATCTGATCATATTTGTTATCATCTCTCCAGAACGGCAGAGTTTGAATAATGTGAAGCGTGTACTTATCCATGGTCAGTGTGTTATTTACAATAGATGATGGTCATTTGGGAAATAAGACTTGAGTAACTAATGCACTGCTGTGGATGATGGCAGCAGCAAAACAAATTAACCTAAAATAATAATAATAAGAATCAATATCCATTAAAGTATAATATGCCATATTTACAATATTATCTCATCGTTATCTGGCCGTCAGACGGCCGCATGTGACGGGGAACTGAACGTCAAACCCAAAAGACTTTTCTCTTTCAGTTCAGTTTCCTGAAATGATTCTAAATATGGCGTAGACTCAATCTGATATCATTGCTTTTTATGGGGCCTTTTCTTTTAAAAAGCTAAAATATGTTTTAGCAGTTCATTGCTCTGCTGCCTTGCTGGTGCTCTTGTATGCTTCTACCAACGTATTCCACTGTAGGTAGTGAAGCGACTATGGAAGAGTCCCTCACACAACCCCACTACAAAAAATCCAAACAATCTTTTGGCAGTTTTACATTTAAAAAAGGTTTTAAAAACTATTAACATCTGTGTTTCTTACCGACTCCGGCCCGTGGCCTCATTAAAAAATGTTGTTTTTTTTGTTATTAAATGAAATGTCTTCACGTTATAATCATTTTCTCCTCGATGTATGAAACGTATGAAACCATAAAATCCTAAAATATGTCAAATCACTGTCGAAAAGCACAGGTTGTCCATCCAATTTGGGAAATGGGAAGCGTGTCACTCGAATCGATCTCGGTACTGATGGGATGCCTTGATGAAAAGCAGTTGATCTTGCAGGTTGCATCATTGCTGTGTATAAGCTCACAGGGATGATGTAATGCCAGGCAACACGAGACCATGCTGGTAATGAACCATGTTTACAATTGACTACTTTTTTTGACTTGTTCATTTACACAAACTAAGCTCTTGGGGTGACTGATCAAATTATCCATAGGAGTTCTCTGTGAATGGGGGTTAAGTTTATTAACTTTATTTTTACATTTACAATCAGGTTATGGTCCCAGTTTTAAAATGGGTATGGAGGTCATTACGTTACTTCAAATGCCGTCTTACATGTAAAACTCCCCTCCAGGTTTTTTAAAGCGATGCAGAACATACCTGCAATCATTTATATGATTTTTGAGAGAATAATAAAAGAAATTCAATTTATTATTATTCTTTTTGTTAAGAAAATAATTGTTTAAAATTCAATGTTCAAACAATTCTGATAAATGAGTAGGTCTGTCTGTACACAATTTATATTCATTCATTTATTTATCGATGAAGTAACATTAAAACCAAGTTTTCTTAAATTCTAATCATAATATTTCCAAAAATATGTGAATGAAAACAAATCTGCAATACCTCTGATGAAATGGTGCACCCATGAAAGAGATTACACATTATACTCTATAACATAGGAACGTAAAATACATTTTTCAAACAAGATGCTAATTGTATTTTTTCAATAAGACAACACAATTGAAGGCAAATAGTTCAGGTTAGTTGGATCTTCAAAACAAATCCTAATAAGAAATCATATCCTTCTGCCCCATTCACATCGTTCCCTCCAATTGTGTCTTATATTCAACATGCCTCTTGTGAGATTGCATCATTTCAATTTAGATTTGAATGGGTCTTAACACGTCCAATTAGTTGACGGAGACATGAAAGTTCTGCATTATGTTCATATTAAAAACTTCATGAACTTCAAAATCTTATTTTCAACAATAATTTGTTAATTTAATTTTTTATCCATCTCCAAATGGCCTCCACGTTCACACAAAATGTCCCTTGTTTGAATAACTTCAATGTAAATACAAAATTTAATCTGAAATGCATTTGTGCTTCAACTCCGTGTCTCCCACAGGCGTGCCTACACCCAGCTCAGAGGTCCTGCGACATACCCTGAACATGCTGGTGCGAGAGAGGAAGATCTACCCAACTCCAGAGGGCTACTTCATTGTCACCCCACAGACCTACTTTATCACTCCTTCCCTCATCAGAACCAACAACAAGTGGTATCACCTGGATGATCGGCTGCAGGAGCGCCAGACGCCACAGTCGCAGCAGCAGCAGCCGCCGCCGCCGCCATCTCAGCAATGCACTTCGCCTCAGTCTGGCAACGTAACACCATCCGCACCCGGCTGCCTGAGGGAGAGGCCTCCTCGCAAGAACCACAGCGACTCATACAACTCCTACCGCGACGACTTGTCCAGACTTCACAGCAGCAAGTCCCCGAAGGAGCACAGGGGAGATTCTTACCAAAGTAAGCCCCCCAAGGATCACAATGGCGGGGAGCCTCCGCCAAGCACGTCAGCCAAGGAGCACCGGGGAGAACCTCCGTCATACCCGTATTCCCCTCTCCCCACTTCCCCTCCTGCCCAGCAACCGCCGCCTCAAGAGCCCGCGGAGAAGAGCAAAAGCATCACTTCTTTCCCTTATAAAAGTGACACTCTGACCAAAAAGAAAGAAGGAGGTGGCGGCGGCGGCGGAAGCGGCGAGAAGCAATCCAAAAGGTTTGGCCTCCGGCTATTCCGGCTGAGTTTCAAGAAGGACAAAATGAGACAGCTGGCCACCTTCTCAGCGCAGTTCCCCCCCGAGGAGTGGCCTCTGCGCGACGAGGAAGTGCCGACCACACCCATTCCCCGCGAGGTGGAGATGGAGATAATCCGCCGAATCAACCCCGACCTATCAGTGGAGAACGTGGCGAGGCACACGGCGGTGATGAAGAGGCTGGAGGAGGAGCGCGCGCAAAAGAACAAGGCCGGGTCCTCGGCCCAGCACAGTGCACGGAGCAGGAGGGCGAGGGGCCACAGGAGGGCCCTGCACGGGAAGTCCCGCTCACACAGCAAGCCCCGGACCTCCAGGGGAGACCCCTCTGAGGGTTCGAACTGGGACCTTCTGTTCATGGAACGGGATTACCGCTTCTTCAGCCACTCGTTGGTTCGCTCGCCTCGGGAGGCCATGTACACCCTTGAGCGCAGACGGAGCGGCGGGGCAACGTACCTGGTCCACAGCAACCCCAACATCACAGAATCGAACTGCCCGGTCGCCCCCGAGTGGGACGTGTCGGGGGAGCTGGCCAAGAGACGGACCGAGATGCCCTTCCCGGAGCCGTCGCGCGGGACCTGCCAGTCCAGAGTGCAGAGGAGCCACAGTCACAATCAGGACAGGAAGTCGCGTCACGACAGGTCAGATCAAGCCAAGGAGCGCTCCCGGTCCATGGACAACTCGCTCAAGGGCCCTTCGCTGGGGGCGCCGGAAGACTTTGAACCCACTCTGGAGGAGCGCAGTCATTACTACACCGATGACGGCACCCTGCGCGCCAAGCAGAAGTCCTCCCACTACTCAAGGATCATGTTCTCTGCTGCTAAGTTCCACTCTGATTTTAATGTGCCTGATTTGGGGAAAGGGAGTTTGGACGAGTCGAGGATCCGGAGTACGATGGAGAGGAACAAAAGCAGAGACAGCTTGCCATCGTACAATGAGCTAATGGGACTTTCTCCTAAGCCCTCAGCAGATGAGTACTTCCAGTGCAATACGTCAAATGAAACAATCCTAACTGCCCCTTCGCCTCAGGCAAAATCAGAATATGACACATTAACCTCATCAGGGGGACTCCGAAAGGGCTCTCCGGCTGACCGCCAAACGCCTCACCTCACGTCTCCTCACACGATGGAGTACAAAGAGGACTTGTCGGCAGCAAAGGGACAGAGCGGCTCGGCGCGACTGACGCCGAGCCAGACGCCGGAGCCGCTGCAAAATGCCCGTTTGACGCCGCACCAACACAACGTGGACCCGGGAGGGGGCGGAGGCAGCATGGTGATCAAGAGGAAAGAGATCTTCAGCAAGGACACTTTGTTCAAACCTCCACACAATGCCTTGTCCACGGGCTACGTGGACAGCAGCTACACCAAGTCCGGCACATTGCGGAAAGCCTCACATGCCAAATCAACAGAGGCCCTAGACAATCCTGAGCCCCAGCAGCCTTCCAATTCAGTCACTTCCTCAGCATCACCGGCAGTTTTACAGGTCTGCTTAGAGCCAACAGTCCCCTCCGCCTCCTTTGACTATTATAATGTATCAGATGATGAGGAAGAGGAAGAGGCGGAGGAGGACTCGCACAAAGAGTTGGCGACGGCAGAGGACAGCAAGGAGCACGGGGAAGTGGGTGGTAACGGTGGAGGCGGTGGCGGCGGCGGTGGTGGTGGGGGTGGTGGTGGCGGTGGCGGTGGTGGCGGTGGTGGCGGCGGCGGCGGTGGTGGGGAGGGAACCATGCAGTGGTTACTGGAGCGGGAGAAGGAGCATGATCTGCAGCGGAAACTGGAGACCAACCTGACCTTGCTCAGCCCCAAGGAGACGGAGAACAGCAGCAGCCAGAAGTCGGCCCACTCGGCCCGTTTGGACAGCATGGACAGCAGCAGTGTGACGGTGGACAGCGGATTCAACTCCCCCAGGTACGTACGTGCTGCAAGCAACTGGAATTCATTCATCATCATCTGAGTCTCCCTTTAAAATGTCCTCTATAAAAACGTTCATTCAGCAGTATTGGCTGTGTGTGGGAGTGTGGGAGGTAAACTCAAGTAGAACACAGTGGGAACTACAATATCCCCAAACATCTGGATCGCTGTCTAACCGTATGGTAATATATGGAGGTAAAGAAAAGAAAAAGGTTTTCCAGGGTACATAACCTTATTATTTTTGATAAAACCCCCAAAAATGTAGGTATTGAGGTTAATGCATGTCCATACTAATTTCGTGGCCACTTTATTAGGTACAACTGTTAAATATAATTGTATCCAATATAATCTTGAAAAGTTTGTAATGTTCATAATGTTTTGGGTGAAATAATACACTTGCTATGTTAATAGCGTGTATATCTGTATTCTGCACTTACTTACTATTGTGGAGCAGTGATGTGTCCTAATGCTGCTGTCTAAAATCAAATAAAAGGGTGAACGGACACTTTTCTGCTTTAACAAGATTTGAAGAAATGTTCTCAGTCCGAGTTAAGGGGAAATAACCCAGATGACATAATCTGTTTGAGAAATGGCAACGGAAGATGTACAGCTCTTTTCTCAAGATGATCCTAATGTGGAAACTTTTTGTGGAAATATTACTCTTCAAACTTAAACATTGGGCTAAAGATGGCTAATAATAATGTATAATATAAGGAATAAATAATGAAAAATGGGTGTTACTTTTACTGAGGCTCAAAGATACCTTTTGGATTGTTTTTTGTATTTTCCTGTGAATGACAACTTTTTTCATCGTAGTATTCTCAGTAACTGCATTTTATCTGCGTTTTTCTTCAGTCTGCAAAATATTCAGCAATTTTTTTCCGTTTATTTGAGGGGTATTGTTTTTCCTTACACCTTATGAGACACACAATGACAGCTTCTTTAATGTTTTTTTTATTATTTTTAAAAAACGAAAACACTCTCTCCTGTTGTCTCCTGTGCAGAACGCGTGAAAGCCTTGCGTCCAACACATCCAGCATAGTGGAAAGCAATAGACGGCAGAATCCGGCGCTGAGCCCCGGCCACATCGGCACGAGTAGTATCGGACTGCCGTTCAGCTTTCGCGCCATCCCAGAACCCGCCACCACACAGCCTGAGAAACTCCAGAAGTCATCGAACTGCCTGGCCTCCATCACCAGCGTCTGACAGGCAGCGCAGACTGAGACTGAGACCGGGGAGGGTGGTGGAGGAGAAGGAAGTGAGGGGTTTCACCATTTTGACCCTCACAGACACACACACACACACACATATATTCAGACTCCTGAGAATCCATTTACTGGGACTGTTACATAAACAGGCATGGCTTCAAGAGACTGTTCCCACAGCTTCAAGAACTTTACTGCAAAAAAAAGAGAAGAAGAACTACAGAATATCAAGACCAACGTAGGCAAAGAACCCTACCTGAAGTACTCTGATTTTTGGTGACATGGACTCTAGTTTGGCTTATATCAAGATTATTGACTATTGGTATTGGAAAGTAGTAGACTATAGGATTCAAGTTACATTTGGAAATATCAAAAAAAACTTTTTATATTACTTAACAATACATGTCCAATTAAATGTTCTCCTTCCTGAAATAGCGTCAAGTTCTTCAGGACAATTCAATGTCAGCACAATGTCGTGAGATCAACCAAGTTGATCGTGAGAACAACGAATGAAATATATAAAAACATAAATCAGCTAAAGATTTGTGTACCGCAATGCAAATGATGTATGTATACTCGATACTTTTGATATCCTAATTATTATAATGGTGGTATTAAAGATGCTATGTGACCAAAAGTGATGTCTGGACAAAATGAGCTGCACGCCGACACTCACGTGTACGTCCCAGACGTCTCACAAAACAACCCCGCCCCCCGCCTCATTCAGTTCTGTTAAATTGTCAGAAGAATATTAACATTACGATTCACTGAGCACTTTAAGAACGTATTTAGTCCTATTTTAGGTACAATAGTTGAGATATGCATTAAAGAAAGCACAAAAAAACAGCATTGACTGACTTGTTTCAGCTTCTCAAAAAGTGAATATTTTCAGCTCTTCTCAGTTGTCAATGAGAGTAAACTGGTCTGTAAGGCATCACCATGCGCTTTGGTGACGTGTTGAGTATATAGACCACATGGTTAATGGAGAAAATAATCCATAGATTAATTAGGAACCGTAGGCAAAATGAGTAAAATGTGTGACTGCAGTTGCTACAACTGCTGCAGGCGCAGCCAGCTCCATCTGTGCATCATTCATAATAACCGGAATGTTGTTTCTAGCAAGTAATGTTTTTAGATCTGAAATGATCGGTAACTAATTCCATAATCATGGAATTTTTTCAGCCCTTTTTTCAAACAAAAATTACAACAAATTCTCAGTTTTGGCTTTTGAAATGTGAACATTTGCTGCTTTTCTTTGTCTTGTAAGTAAACTGAACATCTTTATTTTTTTTTAATAGACAAAGAGAGATATCTGAAGATGTAATCTTGGGATAAGGGGAATTTGGATTTTTCACTATTGTCTTATAGAACAATAGTGAAACGAACGACAAGCAAAATAATGAAAATTATTGTTGGCTGCAGCAATTTTCAGCAAAAGTCCAGAAAGTCTTACGATGCACCCAATTACCTTTACATGATTCCATGGTTTTCTTTAGAGAAATAACTTCACAGCGTCACTTCGACCCGAGCAGAAACAACCAATGTGGATTTTCCAACAAAACACCTTCCATGAGTAACAAAATAAAAATGGCTACGTCCTGCTCCTATATGCGTTGGTAACTAAAGTTTGCTTTTGGGTCGTGTTTCAATGCCTTGAGTAATGCAATCAAAAGTAATTCAAACTTAATTGTGATGAGATGTTAGGAGTCAAAGTCGTGTCGATCCCTCAGCGATCACAGCTGACACCGGGGAGCAAAAGGTGGAGCCCACGAACCGCTCCAGCCGAGCGCCCCCTGCTGGTGGACCGGCTGTATTACACCGGCACCAAACCGCCATGTGTGTGTGTTACGACTCCAGCCAGTTATAGCACACGATTAATTATAATTATTAATTAGAAAAGATTCATTATAATTATTTATTAATTATTGGCAGAGCTGCACGGTCGATTTATTCAAAATTTCCCAATAATTTAACAATTTAACAAAAGTGTGAGAGCAGGTACCTGTCGTCCAGTCAGTTTGGGTGAACTTCACGCGTTATCCTGCTGCCTCCATGCTTGGTCGCTCTCCTCCACAGGAAGCGTCTTCTCCGATAAGTTAGCAGTTAGCCTTGTTGTTTTCCCCCCCAGAACCGCTCCACTTTGAATTTGATTGTTTTAATCGGTTTGGTTTGTGAAACTATCACCTGACACGTTCAGTGTTTAATCTCAAATTTCACTTTAAAGCACACACTTTAAAATATGTACTGTAGAAGACGCTTGTGGTGAGTGCAGTTAAACATATTACAAACATGTAACGTTACATCAATATTCGACGACCGTTACTTGTCAAGTTACAAATCTTGCGAGAGTTTTAATCCTCTTTTACTTTCCGGACATTTGCACCAATTTCACTCGATACACTCAGGTTTCTTTATTGGGTGTAGTGAACAAGCATATTTAAAACATCGTTGTCTATTTTATTGGCGACTGCCTTAAATTGCATAAAATGCAATCGAGTATTTTTTCGACGTGCATTAAACCAGATAAATTACATTAATTCAAATATCACCAGGTAGCGTTCCAACCACACTTCCTTCTGCTGCCAGCAGGTGGTGCTGGAACACTATGGACTTGTATGTGGAGTCTGACGGTACCACACTGATTATAAAACCTTCAATTGTTAATTGCACTCAGTTTCTAAATGGATATATACTACAGCAGTTCTGCATATTGTCCGTGAGATGTAACTTTTGATACATAAATAAATAAAACATGTTATGAATTTATAAATTGATTGTAGTTCAACATCGAAGAGTATTTACTGTAGTTGTGAACCACCGACTCCACAGCAAACACGTAACGTGGCTGGTGAGGTAGAATAAGTGAGTAGAAACGACAGGAAATGCAGTCCAACAAAAACTCAAAACGGGTTTACAGATTATTTTAGCGAGTTTTCATTTACTAAACCAATGGACTGATAGTGGAAAACAGAGTAATAGATTACAACAGACCTAATCTGAGCCATTAAACACTTTTAAATGTATTTTATAAGTATAGGATAATATATATCAAGACATAAATTCATTCACCAAAGACAGCTGCTTGTAGTTTTTACCTGTGTGTATTTTAATGACTGATGCGGGGGACGTCATGTCAGCGCCCCTTAACTACAGACACACAGGTGGGACGATAAAACAAAAACTACTGTGGATCAGGGTCACCTGGAGCTTGGCACGTACAGCGATGAATGATTCAACTTAAAAACGCACAGTTCACAGACATACACGCGCATTATTTTCTCTACAATCACCTATAACACACACTTGCACGTTTTCTTTTAACAAAACACACAATGCATCTTTTGTGCACCTCGATGTTCCTTCATCTTTACACCACTCTGCTCGGCACGCTCCAAATATACAGAAAGGGGAAATGTCTGTGCTGAGAGTGTTGGGAAAACGCACAACAGTGAGTTTTTGTGGATGTGTAAGCATGAACCTCCGAGAGCAGCCCTCAACAAAAAGGGGCACACAAAACACACACATGCATCATTGACACTCCATCTCATGTACGGACTACAATTCCCTTGTTTGTTTTTTTGACAATAAAACCATTCAAGCTCTCGAAACCAATGAAATGCACGGACACAGGAGCGTAGGAGCGACCATCTACAGCATACATCTTGGTTCTAAGGCAACATTGTAGTTCCACAGGACTCGTGCTGTCGATGCAGTGTGCTGTTTGCACGCTGACTGTGTCTCCAAAAACCGGATCTTACAGTGTATTTATATTTTTAGCACCGTGGGAATCTCTCCTTCCATCAGAATGGTGTCGTTCCGAGAGACAGCTATGGAAATATTCCCTTTTCCGATATTCACTTTTTTATTTTTGGGTGAGGTGGAGACCGGAAACATCCATGAAAGTTTGTTACAAGACGGTGCAAACTTAAAAACAGCATGGACACACACGCGCACGCACACGCGCGCACACACACACACACACACACACACACACACACACACACACACACACACACACACACACACACACACACACACACACACACACACACACACAATGCAAGGCTTAACATTAACATCACAAATAATTTGGAAATTCCCCATTAGCATTTTTTCCATTTCTTTTCCCATACAACAATGGTCGTCTGCATAAGCTTTAAGCAAAAAGGGCAAATGACAGACTTTTGTCTGTTCTTTTTCTCTGTACACACACACACACACACACACAGTAAACACAATGAGTTTTACAATAAGACATGAAATAAAATCATCTGCAGCCGTTTTGAGCTGGGCTGAAGAGGCCAGTTCCCGGGCGTCAAAGGCAATAAAAATGTCTATTTAAAGTTCCCTCTCAGTTACCGTGGGTCCGAGAAGCCGTCCGACCACGGTAAGCCGCAGTCAAAGCAGTCGTAAAAGTCTCCAAACTCCCTGGTTGGATGCATGTTGTTCCTCACCCATCCGTAGTTTATGATAGTTTATATGAATCTCTTATATGTTTGCTTTGCCACAGCTAGAATCCACACTGAAAACCATCTCCTCCACAGAAACGTCTCAGTCGTGTCGTCACATTTGTCGAAGCGTGTGTGTGTTTTTTTATTTTAACCTCGACGTCTCGTCGTTTTTACCCGTCTGGTTTCGAATGTTCACGTTAAAGCGCCGCCTTCCTCCCGCCGCTGGCGAGCGTCCACAGACGTCACCACGAACGCGTCTGCGGGGTCAGAGAAGAGCGGACGGGCTGTACTTTTTTTCTCATTGCCGCGGTGAAGGTCGGGGTGACGGTGGCGTGGGGCTGCGCAAAGGTCAGAGGTCGCAGGCTTGGTCTGAGGTCATTTCCTGGTGTGAAGGGTCTCCTGGAACTTGGTGCTCGTGTAGCGGATGTGGAAGCCCTTCTTGCTGATTGTGTCGTCGCTATGGAAACGGATCAGCATGGCACTTCCGGGTGAGTAGATTCCCTCCCTCGGCTGAGGAAGCGAAGACCCATGAAGCATATAAAAACATTGTCAGTCATTTAGAGGTCCTGAACTTTTTAATATAATTATATTTTCTAATATCCATAATATACTTTGGATCACATGTCACATGTTTGGTCAACATGACGTGCTTTCGAAAAGTTGTGGTAGAAGATATTTCTCTGATTATGTATGATCTGTTTAGATCATGTTACTCCAAACATCCACTAAAACAGTTCTTCACATCAAAGATCGAGTCTTACCCCTGAACCGCAGAAGCGGCCGAGCCGGTGTGAGTTGGCGTCGTACCCGTTGTACAGCTCGATGTAGTCGTAACCACAGTCCGCCTCCTCCTCTACCTCAAACGTGATGAAGCTCAGCTCGATGCCGTAGCCCTGCTCGGCCGTCAGCAGCCACTCACAGTCGGTGTGGCCCGGATAGTTGTTGTCCCCGAACTGGGAGTGAGAGTAAAGGTTCTTCAGGCGAGCTTCCGCTTTCAGCCGACCGCCGCACTCTGCAGAGACGCGGGATCGAGAAGGAGTGACAGGTTAATCTGATCCAGCCAATCCAGCCAATAAACTCTTGTCAGATGTAATGAACGCTTTTAATCTGGCGAGGGCTGCTGTTAACCACAGGAGGGAGGTATTACCCTTCGAAAATCCATTCAAACTTGACAAATCAATGCTGGTTACTCCAAGTGATGCTCTTTGCAGACGGCAAAAACTGCACAGTAAGCGTGACAGCATCCCCGTCGCACATAAACACCTAAATACGTCTCCACGCACCTGTGGAATGTGTCGCTTGGAAGCCCTTTCTCTGCACCGAGGCGTCGGAAATGAAGCGGAGGTACATCTTGTTGCCGGTGGAGACCAGCTGCTCCGGGATCTTGCTGCCGCACAACCGACCCAAGATGGTTGCCGTGTCGCCGTCCCCGTCGAAGGCCTCCAGATGGTCGTACGCACATTCCTGATGCTGCTCGATCTCAAACTCATTGAAGGCCTGGAAAGGCAGGAGGAGAGATCGCCGGGTGTGATGTGAGACGGCGGTTTCGGGGGCAACTTGGAGGCAACTTAGCACAACGCTGACAACTGCTTTCAAGCTGATGTATTGGTGAAGTTACTTTTATTTAGACTTGTGTTTCAGGCCACCTGATGAATGAAAGTTCAACATTAGCAACATAATCAACACCTGAGAGATATCTGTCCTTTTTATGCAATACTATAAGCAGTTAGTTGCTCGGTGATTTTCTATCTCAGCATTTCATCCAAAACATCGTCCCTCCAATATATGTTTATCGTCCAATTGTTATTATATAAAGCAACTTCAAGCAAAATAACCCAAATTTAAAGTACTGGTTTGCTATAAAGTCAGAAGCCTCAGATAAAGATTTTGAGAGCGCTTTAAATATATTCTACGGTTCTTCTGCCAGTGTTAGATTCCTTTAAATCTGTTTCACGTCAATATAAACGCATATTTGCATTTCAAATCCTTTGACACATCTTCAGAGCAGGCTGCCTGCCTCTTTGCGCCGTCTAATCCAAGTCGCCGTGAGCTGAGTCATGGCACCTTGAAGGCCTCACTCCCACGCGGAGGCACGCGCGTCTCTGATTGTCTCCTGAGCCGCGCTCTCCATCACAACCACCACAGCGCATTGGCTCTCGACCCGCCGGGTCGGGAAGAGAGACAGACGGGCAAAGGTGGGCCGACGCGAGGGCGGCGTTACGTTACGGAGAATGTTTCATTCTGGGGGTCGCGATGGCTTCCAGATGTTTCTGGCTGTAGCGCCGGGGGGGGCACCGGTTGGTGGATCTGTTTTGAATTGTCAATTTTTGCGTGTGTTTGTGTGTCCATAATTGTGACTAAAGAGGCAAGAAGAGAATGACCTTCACGTCAGTGCTCATATTTCTGTTATTAAATATACCTCCCTGAGATGTCGTTCTGATGGAAACAGAGATAACGTACCTGCATACAGGACTGTTACAGTAAATGGGTCATCACAGCAGGGTCTTCAGTTACGAAAAAAGTGATTATGAAAACTAAATTGCAGTTAATGACAATTTTGCAGTGCAGAAGCGAGATCAGGAATGCGTGTGCACATTGTAAAGATTGCACATTCTTTGTGTGCAACACTGAGGAACACGAGTGGATTTTAAGAGGATTATCTGTGTGAATGTGGGCACGTGAGCTCCTCCATTTGTTTCTTTGTGGGGACCAATTTGCAATTTTTAGTATCACGATAACAAGCATTTTAGTAGTATGATTTGCATATGTTCCTTTGTGTTATGTGATAATCAACTAAATATTGTTTGTGTTTTGGACTCTTGATCGAACAAAATGTGATTTCCTGTTTCCATAAAGCCTCAGAAATGAATGTTGGCAAGTATCCCATTACGCACATAAACCGTGGAAGCGATGTACTTGCTGAAGTAGGGTTAGAATGTTGCCATGGATTCATTTGCTTTCCCTATTTAAAGTCCCGATGTTTTAGATACGATTACGTCAAGGTAATGAAAACGACTATAAAGCATTTTCTGTGAGACTTGAATCAAAAAGCTAACACTGTCTTCTGTCATCATATTCATCATTCATCATATTCTCTCTCTCTGTCTCTCTCCGGATAAAATAACCACTTGCACGTCACCCTTTCAACGTTCAGCATCAACCATCTTCAATCCAACATGCACACGGTAATAAAAACGTTGGTTTATTCCCAAATATTTAGCCGCAGTAATTCAGAAAATGTGAAGATGACTATTTGTGGTGACACGTCGATGCTTAAATGCACAAATGCATGTGTGTTTACGTGCAGGCATGCACAAACACACACACACACACACACACACACACACACACACGCAGAAAGCCACAAGGACACAGATGGCCACTGCCCAAGGCCTCTTTCTAACGCATGAGCACACGCTTGCAGTTAGCCCGAATATACAAACGTGCACTTTCTCCGCCGTTCACATTTGGGTTTCATAAGTGGAACGTGGGATGGGAGACCATAGAGAGAGAGAGACAGGGGGGAGGACGGCCTGGGGCCTTCACATTAGATGGGACCCCACAGACAGAATAAAGCGATGTTCTGAGGGAGGAAAGACGGACAATAATGCTAAAGTAAAGGGCTCAAAGAGGCCGCACGCTCCTTATTCCAAAACACTTACTATCTTGACTCGGTGTCCCGGCGTGGCGGTGATGTCCCAGGTGCACTCCTTGCGGCTGGGATACTTGTCTGGCCAGTTAGGGCTGCTCAGGGTCCCACTGGGGCTGTGGATCTTATGCTCACACTCAGCTGAAGACACACACACACACACATGCGCACAAAGAGGAAGTTAAAATCATAGCTGCACAGGAAAAGGTCAGAGGAAATGGAAAGGGAACAGGAAGGAGAGAAACAAGAGAAGCAAAAGAGAGAGAGAGGATTTCAAAGGAACACATCCTGATGACGAGTTGAGTGTGGGTTTCACATGGACGCACGCACGCATGCTTTCAATAAACACACTGCTACAGTGAGCACTTTGTCTGGATGGAGTATCTCTATCAGTATGTAGGACAAGTCCCACGTTACCTACTGAGGGAAAACTACGGTTATTATGCTGGCATTGGAACCTTGAATTTGTATTAGATAATTTTCCAATGCAGAGAAAATTATATTTTTTTAGACTTTTCATAACCAAAGCAAAGTTGTTGATTGGATGTAAGCGATTGGATGCCGAACATCTAATTACTGAGCTTTAAATTGTGTTCCTCACACACACAATACTTGTATAAATTGTTATTACATTAACCCGTTCTGAAATAAGGGAATAAAGAAAAGGAAGAGATGTGGCGATGGAGACACGGAATTAATGCAGATGCTTTATTGATTGTACGAGGGATCACTGAACAATTTGAGTACAAATTGTCATTTTTATTTCTGTATTTATTATCAGGGGGAGTTCACATTAATAAATATTGCTGTAAATATGCCAGAGCCCACAGTCTTTTATTGCTGTGTTACTTCATCTTAAACTCTGTACTGTCCAAAAAATAGCAGCATCATTTGCCAAAAAAACTGACCAACTATGGCTCTTTACACTTTACATGAACCCTGTTAGCCGCGAGCAAATATTGCAGCGTAGAATAACTGGCTGCTTTCTGTGTCTACTGTGAGTTAAAAGAATGACTTTGTGTGCATTCCGGAGGGACATTTTTTATTTAGTCAGATAAAAACTGAACCCATTTAGAGAATGAGATGGATGAAGTCTCCCAATGGGCAAAGTATTGAATACGGACGTCATACTCACACACTCACGCACTATTGTTACAGAAGATCCTCAAACAATTCAGCTACTTACGATTTACAAATTGTAAATTTGTCATGAATACCTGTGTTGCCTGACATTATCACTTATCATTATTGTTTACAACACTGCGGCAATGTAGTATTCAGATAAATAATACGTTTATTTTGTTTTTCACACACACGCTCTAATGCACACGCAAACACACTCACGTCCACGCACAGCAAGTCGGCGTTACAAACACAGCTTTCAAGCTCCCAGATGTTTGAAACATGAGTGTTTTTATGAGCAGCACAGGGAGCCTTTAGTGAGGTGTGTGTGTGTGTGTGTGTGTGTGTGTGTTGATGTGGTGCGTGTGTGTGTGCACACGTTCAAAAGTTCAACTTCAAAGAGTCGAGTATAATGTGTCAATTCAACAGTGATGTCTTTTGTGTGTGTGTTTGTGTGTGTGATTGCAGGGGAATTTGCTGATTTAGCTTCTAATAAATAATGTTCGCTGTTGAAACTTCTTCCCTTTCTGTGTTTCTCACACACACAAACAGCTTTGGTGAGTTGGAAGCAGAGGCGTTTCTAAGTCATTCTCCAGTCATTCAAGACCGCGCGAGTCTTTCAGTCATGTCCTTCAGTCCAAGTCCGTTCTCAGTGGGCAGAGTTGTACATGAGTAGCAACCCGCTTGTCAATGTACCACTCAAGTCTTCTATTCGGCACAACCCTGAAACCCGGGACGTCACATTTTCGACCTCTTGTGCATTTTTGGTTTACAGCAATCGATGTGCAGTTATGGGTCATATATCAGAAGCCATAGCTTCCTGTTGCTTTAAACATTTGACAGGTCAAGTCCAAAGAAAATCCCATGTCTTATGTCCGAACCAAGCTCAAGTGTATTAGAGCAATTCACAAGTCTTCATAGACAAACGAATCAATCCAATATTTTTTTATCCCAATGCTGAGCATGAACATTTGACAGAATCCTTTCTTAAAACCTGCTACTAGCTGATAGCATGTGCTTTTAATGCACACAAATAAACATGGAATAAGAATGGAATGTCTTTGTAGGCAAGTATGTTAAGCCTCCCTTGCATCATTACTTTTGTTGGTCAAGTCAAAGTCTCACGTCCCCTCTCTTCACTTGTGACACACGCCGACGTCTACAGCAAAGAAAACCCGGGCTCTTTATTCTCTAACGTGGCTTTGCTTAAGGGAAGGGCTGTGTGATCGAAGGCGACCGCTGTGCACAACGATGCATGTGCACGCCGTTGGCCCTCGTGGCCCGTGTGTGTGTGTGTGTGTGTGTGTGTGTGCCGATGTGAATGGACGTGAAACCCACCTTCCTTACAGTCATGTTTGTTCTCATGCAGCACAAAGCCATGGCGACACTGACAAACGTACGAGCCCACTGTGTTGATGCACTCGTGCTGGCAGCCGCCGTTGTCCTTGCTGCATTCGTCTTTGTCTGTGAGAGACACACACGCAACACGTCATTCTTGTGGGAACAGCGAAAAAAAAGACGGGGTGGACGGAAGCGAGGGGTCGAGCGCGCAGGGGGGGAGTGGAACGATGAGAGCTTAAGGAAGGGGGAGGAGGGTTTTTTAGAGAGGAAAGAAAAGCAGCAGGGGTGGAGAAACAGTTACGTAAAGAGAAACTAGAACTTAAACAAAGGGTTTGAAAAGGTCCACTTTTAAGATAAAGTGACAAATAATGCATGAACATCCAGCAATCACAGTAGGCAAACACGATTTCCCAAATATACTGTAAAACTGCAATATGCTGTTCAAAATCCACCTGTAGAGAGTCAAAGCCAAGAGAAATGGTCAATGGAAAATTTGACTTTGACACTTGAACCAAGTGCCGGAGCAAGAAAAGAGTGAGTTTGTTGAGTATTGTTTCCATTTCACACAAGGGGATTATGTTTAAAAGAAGAAGAGTTCATAACCGACCCGACCACTGTTTAACGTAACCCATTAACAGACTGTGCACCTGAGCTCTGTCCTGCACACAATTATGCTCCCTCATGTAACACTGAGTTACTTTTGCCAAACTCATTGGCTAAAAAGTTGTCAGTAAACTTAAACGATGTTTGGTTGTTCAGCATGAAGGGTACGCTGACTGGAAGGAGAGGAGGCATCCTGTGTGTGTGTGTGTGTGTGTGTGTGTGTGTGTGTGTGTGTGTGTGCGGCTGACAGCTGCAGTGATGAGACGGAAGACGTGGATCCGCAGGTGGCCGCACGGGAAGAAGGAGCGTGGGAGAAGGAGCGGAGAGCGTGATTTGTGACTGTGGAGCGAGAAGCCAGATTCCTATAAAGAGATGTGAGATTAGACACAGGCGGCGAGCCTCACCTCGAGTCGAGACCTGGGCGAATCAAACTAGATCTGCTTTTAATGAAAGCTCTAAATCCTCGTCTCCCGGTGTGTTCTGTCTGTGTCTGATGTGGTATTACGGCGCTATTGTGGGCTCAGTCTCACCCGACCGCGGGGGCTAAGAAGCTTTGCGGTCGATGTTGCACAGTGTGCATTGTGGTATTCTTCAGGTTAAGCACACAATTTCCCCCACGTGCACACGTGCGCGCTCACGTGGATTAGTAGTGTGTGGGAGGCCGGAGGGACCTCCCCAAAGCCGCTGGACCTCTGCCAACCAAGAGCTTCTGACAATAGGGAAGACACTCACACACACACACACACACACACACTCACACAATATACAGTTCATCTCAGTAAGTAGTTTCCATGTGAAGCAACTTTATACTTTGACTTCCAGGTGTTCTGCACGTAGTTTGATTTTGTCATCCAGATGACAGTTTGACGCTGAAATGTCGGACTAAAGTCGCTTTTTGGGATCGGTTAAGCCATTTCGGGTTTAAGTTATCATAAATGTGAGAATAAGAAAAGAGATTTTTATTCAGGGGAATTTTCCTAAAATGGAATTAAAATCCAACAAAGGCATCCCAGTAACAGCGGGTATGGGATATTTGTTTTGGTTTTTACTGAGGAATCACAGCGGTGTCCCAATTCCATATTATGTCCAAACTCTGCCCGGCATGTGGTGTCCTCACACTTGGAAAGTAACATAATCAAGACATACATATTTATTCGTTTGAGTGTGGCGCTGATGATGAAGGTTTCCTATGACGCAATAGAAAAGAAAAACCTTTTCACGGCTCCAAACTAATTAAAACTAAATTCAATTTGTAATATAAATAAGTAGTGGACAGTTTCCAGACATTTCTGGAACACATCAGACAAGTAAAAATGATTTAATTTGAGGCATACAGCTGCAGTTTGATCAAAATATATATCTAATCACTATATATATGTATATATATATATATGTATATACACACACCTATATACCTTACACTTGCAAAGTCAAATAAAACAAGACATAACTATTTATGAGCTGCAATAACAAACAGATTGTTTTTACTTGAATGGCCGCAGAGGACCCTTCATTTTAACTGGCTAAATGTTAAGATTGTATTGTTTTATTCTAATATTAAATTGGGACAGAGCACACGTTTCCCTCTGGAGGAGAATAGAAAGACGGGATCCGTCCATTCCCTCGACGCGCCGGAGACCAGAGCCAATCAAAGACTCCAATCGCGAGGTCGCGTTACCTCTGACCTTTGACGGGGTCGCCACCTTTTGTTGAAATGAAATAAAAACGTTTGAAAAACGTTTTGGGGGAATTTTTCAAGCTTCAAATGAGGGAGATGGAGGCACTGCTGCGACCTACACACACACACACACACACACACACATATGCACACGCTCACAGGTGTAACACATGTGCCTTACCTGAGAAGAAGTGAGCCTTAAAGCCTTTTTTGGAGACGGTGTTGTCGGATTTAAACTCAATCCTCATGTTGTTGTACTGAGAGGTGATGACCTCGGGGACCTCAGTGCCGCAGTATTTACCATGCAGCTTAGAGTCGGATGAGAGGCCGCTGCGCACCTCCACGAAGTCGTATTTACACACCTAAACACACACACAAGGCTCTTGTGACACGCACCTCCGACCACCGCGCTTAGCGCCGCCGCGTCACTATCAGGCAGCGCGCACTCACCTCGTTTCCCTCCAGCTCGAAGGCCTCAAACTGCATGGAGATGCGGTACTGAGTGGGAGCGACCACCTGCCACACACAGTTCTTGTTGGGCGGGTACTCTTTGGGCCAGCCGGGAGTGCTGATGGTCCCGTTCAGCTTGGACAGGAGGCCGCCGCATGCCGCTGCAGGCACACGCACAGACCATGATTTAGACACGAACGCGCACGTCGAGGGGAATTATACCCGTGTTGCATGTTTCACCGGCCACGAGGACGGAGGTGCATGGCAAAAGAAGGACTTCTCTTTTACCTTCTGGTGGCAGTAGAAATCCCCTAAACATGCCAATGATTTTGAGTTTGAGTGGCTTGTATGCTGCTTTCTATTTATCCCCAGAAGGGTTTTGTTTTGTTTATATGATGCAGTTAAGAATGCAGTCTCTGCTTCAACTTATGAAGCCGGATGAAAAGTGTATATGGAATGTTAATACGACAATGTTCACTCATTTCAAGTATGTCTGGCGACCTAATGCTACAATACCTGCACAGTTTCCCTGCAGCGTTTTGCTCACAACACAACTCAGTTCTTGCTTTGCCTGCTCTTATATTTGATGAAATGAGCCTAAACGTCACTGAGAATACATATATCACAGATTCTTTTTTCCACACGACGGCTCTCTAAAGAAATTACTAATAGAAAAAACTATTTGGATATTTTTCCAGTGTGGCTTTCTTTTCCTGCTGGGAAGTGTGTTTGTTTCAGCATGTGGGTCAATGGTAGTTAATCTATTTTGTGTGATTAAAGCACCGTCAGAGCAGCGAGGAATGCGGCTTTGTGTTCAGATACATGTTTTTTCCTGTTGATGGAGGCAGTTCGGATGTTTTTATTTTGAGGAGCAACCCTCGTATCCTAAAGAACAGCACTCGGGGGCATACAAAGGAATGCACACGCAAACATTAATTTGGCATCTCACACACACACACACACACACACACACACACAGTCACAGTTACCTTCACAGCTCTTCTTGTCGGGAGCGAGCTCGTAGCCCGGGTCACAGGCGCACTTGAAGCTGCCGAGAGTGTTTACACACCTCTGTTCACATCCTCCATTGTCTGGCTTGGCACACTCGTCCTCCTCTGAAAAACACACACGTCAACGGCGCATATATTTTCACACACACACACACACACACACACACACACACACACACACACACACAGAAGAAAATGCTCTGGCTTGAAACGCCACGTCACGAAAAACGCAATCACCTCACGCACACACGCACCTTTGAAGAAGTTGGCGGCGAAGCCGGCCTTGTTGACCGTGCCGTCTGAGACGAACTTCATCCACAGCGTGTGCGAGGTGGAGCGCACGTCTTCAGGTTTGTCGTAGCCGCAGAATCGACCAATCAGAGGGCTCGTCTCCAGGGGGCCGTCTCGAACCTCCAGGTAGTCGTAAGCGCAGCTGTCGTGCCTCTCAATCTGCAACAAAAACCCAGAAACGCCGTGCAGGTTTCACACGTGCACAAACTGCTGTGAATTTTAGATCAAATATCTAAAAAAATAAAAAATTATAAAGGAAAGACAGAGTTTGTAAGAATATTAAACCATCCTTAATGTGTGGAGCGGTTTGAAATGAGGTTGACCTTTGCTCCTGTGTGACCTTACAAGAGCAAAGTGAGGTTCGGAGCGGATTGAGTCCTTCAGCGCCGGGACATTTTTACAGCGCTTCACTAATCCTCAACCGCTCTGTGGCTCTTTGCACCGACACACCAACATACACCGCTGACATTATTACCTTACCAGCAGCTATACGAGCGTGAAATCTGACCCAGACATTCCAGAGCCAGCGCACACACACACACACACGCACGCACACGCACGCACACGCAGGGTGACTCACCTCGAAGGCCTGGAAGCTGAGCCCGACGTTGTATCCCTCGGACACAGTGATCCTCCACACACACTCTTTGGACGGCCTGTAGTCATCGGGGTAGTTGGGGGACTGAATCTGTCCTGAGTCTTTGCTTATTTCCCCTCCACAGATCGCTGCACAGGAGAGAGCGATTAAGCGCACCGAGCAACCGCACCCGAGCACGTGTAGGAATGAACAAGGACACCTTTCACTAAAGTCAGACATTTAACGCACGTCGGTTTGCGATTTTATCATCCAAGCACTTTTAATTCTACGGTGGAAATGAGTTACCTTCATAAATGGCGGCGAAGCCTTTTCCCACCCAGTTGCTGCTGCTGCGAAACTCAATCCACATCCTGCTGTCCGTGGAGATCAAGACTTCAGGAACTTTGTCTCCACAAAACCTCCCTGTTAAAAACAGACGCACGCAAAAACAACCCATGTGAGAATCAGAACTTGTGCTGTCCAGTGATCGTTGATGAAACGTAGCCTTTTGAAATATGATGGGAAACTCCAGGAATATGTCTTTGGCGTGCTGGAGACCGTTTTACTCAATGAAGGTAAATCATTCTCATATATTTTGGAAGCCTCAAACTGTATTCAAGACTCAAATATTCCTAAACTTGGTGCCTCTTTATGTGGCCCATGTTTAGTTCTTTTGAAACAGAAGAAGGATACAAAGCTGCTGCAGGCCCTTATAAATGACTAGAAAGTGGGTAGATCTATTATTGGCTCAAATGGGGGGGGTTGGTATGGAATAATTATAATGGAAATGTCTACATAGTCTGTAAGGATCCCAAAAAATAAATGAAGATGCAAATGCAAAGCAGACTTTGTATGACTTTACTAACGTTTCCTGTTTCTTTTCTCTGTATACTTGACGGGAATAATACACTGCGGTCCGGGCGTACGTCTGAAAGTTAACCAAAGCAATTGCTCACAGATTAAAAGGAGAAGGACACACGTGTATGAATGCAGGCTGTGTACATGTGGAGAAGCTGGAGGTTAATGCTGTGTGTTTGTCTATAGACGAGTGTAGACGTGCATGTAAAGATGGATGTATTCTACTGGAAGAGAAGACTGAAATATATACTGAAGATTTTTACATGCCCTTTTTCTGTGTATATGCATTTTATAATGCTTATAAATAAAACTGGGAAAAAAGGGTTCATGTCAAAGCATGGAAAATCTTTTGTACAGTTTTCAAAATAATAAAAAAAAAATGATGGCAACGCATAAAACATTTTTGATTTAGTGCTACAGTCACAACATCAATCATGTGAGGGGATTTCGGTTTGTTATTTCAGCAGAATTGAAAAGCTAATGAAAGAGCAAGCGAATAAGAAAAGCCACTTTATTACAACGGGACCAACGCTCCTCCGGCTGACTGTCCCTTACCGAGCAGGGGGGCTTTCCTCCAGTATCCATCCCGGACCTCGATGTAGTCGTACCAACACAGACTGCTTTTATACAAATCCATGGTGGTGAAGTTAAGGACAATCTGAAGGAGCAAAATCAAGTATTTATAACATATTTGGTACAGATGTTTGCACCTCTGAGGCCAGAAGAGGAGAGTTGGAAGAGATGAAATGCTCCTTTGTGGTGAGGATTTCATCGATGGACGGGATTCCTAATGTATTGTTAGTGCATCCAAATTCACTGCAGGGTGCTACTGTGTGTGTCTGTGTATGTGTGGGTTTGTGTGTGTGTGTGTGTGTGCGTGCACCTTTTCTCCGGGGGTAACAGATATTCTCCAGACACAGTGTGTGTACGAAGGGTATCCGTTCGGGTAACCAGGAGACGAAAAGTTGCCCGTTGACTCTTGGAGAGTCTCTCCGCACGCTGCAACACACACACACACACACACACACACACACACACACACACACACACACACACACACACACACACACACACACACACACACACACACACACACACACACATGAATACAACAGATTCTTTTTAACTCTCTGATTGAGAGCACTTACCCACTATTTATCCACGTGGGGGTCCGACCACAGTGTTTAAGCCTCTTTATCGTGTAGCATAATTAACCACAGTCACTTACTGTCAGACCGGAGATCGCAGATCTTTTAATTCACCAAAATGAAAACAACAAAAACTATTACTAAACTACAAAAACTATTACAGCTGAATTTGGATTCGGGGAAAATAGTCAGGACAATAATGCTCGCTTCATCCTTCATTCTCGCAAAAGGAGGTTAGCCAAATGCGCCCCTCCTATCCCATCATGCATGCTGTTTTCCCCCACAATGCCCTGGGGCTCTGTTCATCCGTCAGTGAATATGGTATCACTTATGACCTTACACGGTTGAAGTTGTTCCTATTTCCAGCTGGGACACAGCGTTGTTCTCGCCCCAGTATCAAAATTAATTTAGTTGAACGACAATGTCTCGTAATATGTGGGGAGTTAACATCGACAATAAAAATAAACGTCATCCTGCATGTTGTCAGATGAACTGGATTTTCCAAGGACCAAATTAGTAATAATACAGACACAAAAACAGAGACATTGGTAAATTCAATTAAGAGAACAAATATCATTTAATCTATTTGTCTCAGACATTGTGCGTGACCTGGAGCATGAACCTGTCTGGATCTGATGTGTGTGTGTGTGTGTGTTTGTGTGTGTGTGGGGGGGGGGGGCAAAAAGGGACGGCAGAATTTGCAATCGTCAATCGTTGCGAAATTACCGCACAGCTCGGAGCCACAACAGGGACCAAGGAGGACGTCCCAAACAACACAGTTGTTTGCGACTGATAGGAAGAGTGTGTTTGGGACCCCAAATCAGAGAGCGTGACATTGATTGAACAAATGACTCAACTTCGCCTCTGTGCCTCGGAGAATGGAGGGCCGGGTCCATCTTCACACCAAAAATCCGAGCTTATAAACAGAGGTCATGTTTTGTTTCCTGGTTAGAATGACTAACGTCCCCCTCTACACACACATACACACACACAGACACACACAGACCGTGGTCTTATAGTAGATCTGTCAGTACCTGGACATCTATACAGCTTCCTTGCCTGTGCAATGTCTCCTTTACTGAGCCTGGTTCGCTGGCCAATAGCTGGCCGGACCCCGTTTTCATCTCTGGACGGCAGGATGGTGTCGAGGAACATCCCTCTACAAGGAAGGAGAAGGGAGAGTTATCCCACATCATGTTCTGATTTCGAGGAAATCAAATCAAAGATGTAAACAATATACTACGTAACTTATGGTCCAGACAGCATATCTTCATCATGTTGATCAAAGATGATGATAAATACAGTTAATGTTGAACATGTTTGTGGGTTGTAATACACCTATAATAAGTTATTCCCTGTACATGCTGCTGTGATACCAACATTTCCCTGGTCACTAATATCTAGTGACCAGGAAAAGGAAGAGTGGCCTATTTTCTGTATTCCTTTCTCTCATGTTGTGTTGAGCCATCACTTCCACTACACAACACTAAACAACATCCACATAGAAAAAACTCCATTTAACTTAAGGGAAAAACCTCTGAAAAGCACAAGTCAGGAGATGGTGCGTCTGGTTACCGTGAGAAGGTGTTCCTGGCGTAGTGCATGATGCTATCAAAATCATATGGCTCCCCGAGGGAGTTGACCTCGCCTGGCTCCATCTTGAGGAAGTTGTACTCCTGGCCTGCGAAGCAACACGTACAAAACACACAAATGCAAGGAGAGCGGCGGTTGAAGGTTTTGGTCCGGTCAACAATACAGAGTGCAAACAATACAAGAACGCACACAGCTCTGGACTCACTGGACTTTAATGATTTCAGTGCTGACGTCTGAGTGGGTTTGGCTGCGTAGTGCAGAGCTGCGGTATGTGAAACAAGAACTTGTGTCGGGTCTGATTCATAGCTGCGTAATGCGATTCAACACCTGTCAGATTGTGTCGTGGTGCACAGGAGTGTGTGGGAGGAAAAGGTGTCAGGGGGGGTTGAGGTCACTTCACAGTCATTAAAAATCTCATTCACACCCACGCAGGGTTGGAAACTTAAACACACACATGCACACGTTGCCTTCCCCTGGTCCCCAGCAAGGAACAACCCTGAGGGACCCTCAACCCAGGTGCATCGTGGGTCCTTAGTCTCACCTGGTTGGATGTTGTCGCGGATGATGGTCACGTGGTCGTCCCGGTCGGGCCGCGTGTGCTCGTGCCAGAAGCCGATGACGTGGCCCAGCTCGTGCACCACTATGCCAAACTTGTCGCAGTTCTTGCCAATGGAGATGGCCTGGGGCCCGTTGCCGCGACGACCGACGTAGGAGCAACACCTAATACGGATCAGTGAGAAGTCGATGGCGGGGAGGCAGGCAGGTGACATTCACAAGAATTTTGAGAAAGTTGAAAAAAAGCATCAGCAGTCCCGTTTGGACGCACGCACACAAAGGTACACGCACACACAGTCTTTTCAGGATTTCCTGCCCTGCACTTCGTCCACCCGAGAGAAATTTATTTATTTATTTACATGCAGTGCTGCGATAAAGCTTCACTTTCATAACCCCATGTGAATAAGCTGTAATTCACAAATCGCTGCTCACACACACACACACACACACACACACACACACACACACACACACACACACACACACACACACACACACACAAACAAAAGGCAAACACACATTTTTCTGGTTAGCCGAGACATCTGTGCCAGGCAAACAAATCTGATTAAAGTTGTCTATAGATCTGATTGCAGGGTAGGGATAAGCAGTCGGTGGAATAGATATCGTCCTTTCTTATAGCATTTGCAGCTCCAGTATCAGCACTTCACCCAAAACAGGTGCACCAAATACACTGTGGTTCTCTTATAAAATAAAAGCCTTTTGTTTATGCATTACACTCTGTCTTTGTCAGTTTCTGTCACGTATCCAAGCGGCGGGGTATTTTTACATCAGATTAAAGTGTCTAATCTCTGATGCAGCCAACCAATCACAAAGCAGGAGCCGACTACCATCATCTGTTAACATGCAGATCTTTCATTTCCTTATATCCAATATGCCGGAAAGCCTTTTGCTGGATGAATCACAATAATTCAACTGCTGTCGGTTCAATCACTCTTGGTCAACTAATCAATTAATAGATGTACCATATTAACACTTTAAAGGTCATACTCTGTTTATTTTACTATGTTTCTTCAGCTCGGAGAAACAAACCCAAATGTTCCGATTTCAGCCTCTTCTAAAACCTTCCAATTCACAAGCCCCTCTGTACAAACACACTATGACCCCACCGCGCTGCCACTCGACAGAACAATGCACTTCTGCAGCGTACGAACAAAAAAGACTGCACAAACATACAAAAAGCGTGGAGCGAGCGGCGTGATTGGTGGGATTGGGGAAACAGCAGCAGGACAGGAAGGAAAGTGGAGCCATTGTTGAGTGACCGTATCGTCTCTCGCTGTGACAAGGTCACTGCTGCACTCTAGGTACACACACTCACGCACAACCGCACACACGCGGGTCCAGCCTACCCACCCGCAGGGCCTGTAGGTGAACACGATGTAGCTCTCCTCATCCGTCTTCTCAATGAAAGTTACGCACGTCTGTTTCTCCCAGTGACGCATGGCCTGCTTGAACATGGCCCTCTGGCTACCTGGAACACACGCGTTTCACATCCTACTGTTTTTATGCAAGATCCCAACGTTTCGTGTGTAAATTTACTGCCAACCCGTACGGTACAGTTGCTTACCGGTGAAGTTTCCCCCGATGACGTAGGGAATGACTCCCCCGGGCCAAATCCTCTCCGCGCGGGATGTGGCCGCTCGACGGATGCGGCTTTTCACAACGTTCCCGGTCTTCCCACCTTTCTCAGTTTGGCTCTTGGGATTGGCAGCTCCCTCGCTGGAGTTCTTGGGGAGAAAGTCTAAGCGGCAGGAAATAGGAGTTAACTCTCCCTTTGGCAGAGGTCCTTGCTATGTGTGTTCAAACTACATGACTGGTTTATTCATATAAATTAATTCAATTCATACATTTTTAGCTTGATATTCACTTTTTTACTGTATTGATGCCTTCCTGAATATTGATTTGTCCCACATCTCAGATTACTGTTCTTAAGATTAACATACTTAAACTTGCTTGGCATTGTCGTCAATTGCGGTTTTCATGCTGTATGGAAATAATTGAAAATCTGTGGCTTCCCAGAAGATCTAGGATGCCATTATTGTATGTCTGCAGTAAAGTAAAAGACATATGATTTGTACTTTCTTGACTAAAACGTCATAAGAGGGAGAAGTGAAATTTAGGTTCCTTACCGAAGCCGAACCTGCGTATTCTATCAAGCAGCAGATATAAGGATCCGCTTTTCTTAGAAACGGCGTGTTCCTCCAGCCCACCTGACACGCAAGAGCCAAGAATGAAAACACTGACAACGCACGATAGGTGCTTTTATCTGCTTTACGACCAATGAGAGAAGGAGTTTCAGACGAAAACACGGGGGACATCATTAAATGATGACTGCCGAGTGAGGGCGACGGGTCGAGTCCACTCACCAGACGTGTGTCCCTGCCGGGAGTGTGTGTTTGTGTGCGTGTGCTGTGTGAGGTCTATCGTCCGGTCAATCTGGAACATGCGCAGGTCCTCTTCGTCTAAAGCGATGTCGCCCCAGAATGCAGCTGGAAGGTCAGAGAAGAACACGTGTGACAATCACGACCAGCAGCAGAATCACAGGCATAATATACTGCATGTATAATATGGGGGGAAAAAACAAAGAGGAAGAGGCTCGTAACCGTGGAGCTACTCTTTGGTCAGCAAATCGATAAATAAATTGAATCCTCTGGTTATTGATTCTGTGAGTGACAACACTGTCATACCAGTGAGCGCAGTTTCATTCACTCCAATTACACACCCAATACTACAATCAGAGATCTGTTTGGCATTTTATTTACACACTGATCTGTGTGTTTGCAAGGCTCAAAATGAAAAAGTCCCGACCGGCCCCAATAGGCTCAGCCTTTGGAAACACAGATTTTCTTAAATATTCCCTCGTTTTGCCACCAACACTCCACTGCAAACTTTGGGAGACGATTTCCAAAAGAATAATTTAGATGGTTGGATGGATGAGTGGACGTACGGTTGGATGGATAGATGGATGCATAGAATTCTGTCTTCTCTTCCTCTCCTTCGATATCTACTAAACAGCCTCCAACAAGAATCAGCTGAGTGAAAGTGGCCTCCACAGGGACTCTAAGACACTAATACATTAACAATGGCGTGGGAGAAACTTGTCACTTAGCTAATCAGGATTGCCACTAAAGGAAACGGGGGGTCAGGGTGCCATTGTGCTCGACTCCGGGCTATTGTTGAAGACAGGAGCAAACCACAAAGACCACAGATTGTTGACAAATCGTATCAGAAACAACCTGGGAGTGTGTGCTGTTGATATAGCTATTTAACTTAAGGATGACATTTACAGGAATAGAGCTGCTGTGAATGTATTATTATTTCTCATAAATCTCTCATGTCGACAACTCCAGTATAACTCTTGCTATAAATATTCAGTTTGCTGTAATAAAATAAAATACAAACATAAAATCTTTGCATCTGAGAAAGTGGAACCGGCAAATGGTAAAATGCACTTTATTTACTTTAGTTACTGGTTGTTTTGTCATCCTATAAATCAGCTGATTCAAATGTTACTAATAACGATGGGTTGTTATTATTGATTAATCATACTGTGTCTATAGCGCTTTGTAAGGTGGGTTCAGCTGTAAAGAATCTCTTAAAGAATGAAATGTGCAGATGTAATGAACTTTGTAAAATGTAGATGTCTTCTGCTTGTGCATTTTTTCTTTTCTTATATTTACAGAAAATGTTGAACTTGTTAAGAAACGTAAAAAAGTAAAGCACTCAAACTCAACATCTATAAAATTAAAGGTTTATTTGATTCCGTAGAGCGTGTTGGTGGTGTGACTCCATATAAAGCCACAAAAATAACCCAATTACACTATTCCTGGTGCTAAGATGTGGTCTGAACAGGCGCTGAACAAAGTGCATTGTGGGCAACACTCCCGCCCAGCCAGGAAAACCACCACAAGGGTGCAAAAGGGATCCACCCTCCACCTAAAGAAACTCACACTTCCCCAGCAAAAGATCATCATCCGTGTGCGTTTTCCTTTGAGATAGAATCAGATGGCCACTGCATCTGAAAGGATATTCCCCAGGCATCCCTCTCTATTTGTGGGACGGCGTGTTTGTGACACTACATAGCTTCAGATATTTCAGGAAAACAAGAGAAACCACAAGGACTAAAAAGTTTTTCCTCGGAGAAAAGGAGCCGCCACAAGCAGGCGAAGCGAGACGGGAGGAGGGAGAGTACAGTGATAGTTTGGGCCCATTGATTGTCGGGGTCTTGTTAATCCATAGAGATACCATAAATAGCCCAAAGTCAAGCCAGTGGGCGGTCGAGGGGTGAGAACGGCGAGGCGGGGAGATGCAGAGGGAAAGGTATTGATCCAAAAAAAAAAACAGGACGTCCCAGGAGACTTACATCATGCTGACCAGGGCCTTGCTGTTCGCCCTTCAGCAGGGGCACTGCAGCAAACACACACACACACACGAGCGAGAATAATGCACCAAACACAAACTGAGAGGCCGACTTCCCTCACGCGCATCCGGCAGCTCACACCGTGGCGTCGGCCCCGGAGAGCGAGCGGATCGTTTCTTTGGTGCATTGATCAACTTCTCGGCTGTCGGCTTTGTGCGCGTTTACTCCGCCGCCTGCTAGGATTTGTCAGACGCAGAATAGTGGCTCTGTGTGACACTTAGTCAAATACTTAGTGCCTCGGTGAAGCTGCGACTGTGACACATTTGTGGCTTGTACGAAATACAGCAGCTATGATCTCAACTGGCCGCAGATCTGAAATCCCTCCTGTTTCGCTTTTTTCACTAAAAAAGTAAATTACTCAAAGGTGGGTTATGCTTTTTATTTATTTAAGCAGACATTTCTACGGGAAATGTATTTAATCTGTTGTTATAGCGCCTTCAATATTCTAATGATTGATGGTTTGATTATAATGCTGAAGAATCTGTTGATTCCATTTACAAGTCGCTGCTTTAATGAGTGTTGTTAAGGGATCAATAGCTTACTTCTACAGAAACTACAGTATAATACAGTATAGAGAATGATGCACCCATGCTGCTGTGTGTCTAACACACACACACACACACACTGCTAAGCTCCTCATTAAGCGATTATAAGGTCACACTGTCGGGGCCCTAAGAAGTGTGCGTGTGCTGGAACATGTGCATGCGTGATATCATTATACTGTATATGACTGACTGTGAATGTGCTGCAATATTAAAAAGAGATCACCTCTGGAAGATTCTCTCCAAACACAATTGTTGTGCGAGCTGCTTGAACCACATCAGGTCAGTGTGTTGAAAGTGTGACAAGGTTACAAAAGGGTTGAAAACGGATTCATCGTTAAAAACGTTTTGGACTGTTGAGTGGACAAAACAAGAGGTTTTTAAAACTGATATTTTGCAATTTTATTTCCTTTTAAAATGCATTGATTGACAAATTAGCAAATTAGCTTATCTTCATTATGTGCATGACGTTAAATGAGTCTTAAACTCCGTAGGGTTGTCATGCTTTGGCAAAACAGAGAAATGGATAGCACAAACCAAGACTTTTTCTCAATTTTTCCCTTCCTATAAAACCCACACATGGAAACTACTAAAACTGCGTTTAAGACTTGGTTGGGGTTTGGGAGAAACTTCGGTCTCTTGTGTGAAAGTCTAAACGGGCTTGAAAAAAAATGAAACATCCTCCTGTAAGAATGTGTGTTAGACAGAGACAGAAAAAGAGGAACAACCAGACGGTCCTGCCGTCTCTCTGACATTAAAGCAAATGATCATGAATAAAACTAGGCAGTGTGTGTCTCTGTGTGTGTGACCATTTAGGACTGAAGGGGTAAATGTCGTTTTTCATTACAAATTTTTCAATTTGCCAGAAATTCAGGCCAGCAAAGAATTGAGTTTGACCACCATTCCTCTTTTGTAAAGTCATAGTTTAACCCGGAGAAACAAACACTGACACAGACACACACTAGTATGTTTTCGCTGGCTTACACACGATCCCAAGTGGTGAGTAAGAGCCAATCATACAACCCTATTACTTTGTTTACTACCAGCACAGTGCACGCGTATACGTGTGTTTGTGTGTGCGCATTTGTATGAAAAAAAACGACTAAAAGTGCTGCGGTTGAGATTTTACCAAAATATTATTGCGAAGTCACAGTAGAATTAAAATAAATGAGGTAAAAATCTAAATAATCTCAAAATTGTTAGTTTCAAAGAACTGTAGATATTTAAAATGTTAAGTAAAACATCTGTGTCTGCGACTTCAAATGAGTACACACTTAAAGGGTACTTATAAACCGAAGGGGAAAACTGGCAAATAAAGGTCCGGTATGAGACCAGATAACATGATATCATATGACACACACACGCGGACAGAACATGGCGTTAATCACATTACTGTGATCATGGGTTCGGCGAGACTCTGTGACGGGACGAGTTCGTGGCTCGGTTAAACCATCAGGGCGTCCCGGGTCGGTCTGCAACCAGAGAGCTGGCAGACAACAGGCTCCTACATGAAGCATGATCAATATATATATATAGAATTGAATATTTTAATACATTATTTAATGAGCTGTTTAAACAGAGTAAATGACTGAATACAATAAAACACAGCTGGCTAATTAGAAGAATTATTTGTTAAAGTAGTCAGGTTCCATTGTTTGGATGAACCTACACAGGGTTATCACACAAAATAGAACCAAAAACTGGTCAGTGTAGCAGATTATTAAGCGATTATGAAGCGTATCGGGGAGCTGTAATGACTTGCAATTTTGGGACCAACCGTGTAACAACATGTGGCCACCATTTCCCCCCAGCTGATGCCACGGTTTGGTTAATGTGCAACCAGAAACAGGTGTATGCGAATTCCTTTGCTGCTATAAATACCATCAGGAAAAGCCAGGTGACATAAAAGCATTTAATAATTGAGCAACGTGTGGCAGGTGGGCAGCGCCGCGGCGGTGCTGACTCATGGCTTCTGCAGCTTAACAATGACGGCCAGAAAACAAAAAACGGCCGGCTCTCAGTTTAATGCTGAGCTCGGGGTCCAGAAGAAGACTTCTGAAGCTCGGTGGCATGAGCACTCTGCTCGGGAAAATCCTGTTTAATATAATACGAGCGAGGCCGCCGGTCCCCTCATTCCCACACACACAAACACACACACACACACACACACACACACACACACACAATGCAGTGTCAGTGTCAAACGCACACATTGCTTTAGCTTCCTTCCTACTGAAAAATGAGGGAAGGGGTGAACAGTAGCCGCAGCTCACTGTCACGACATGGTGGGCTTCATTCTCTGACCGAAAAACTGTGAAGGACACATTCAGTACACGTTGGCAAGAAAGCTCCCATTTAGCTGATTAATGTCGCAAGATTTTGATTGTTGTATTTGGCTATTACTACTTTTACATCATCTTGGTGTCATATGCAATTTTAACAGTAAAATTCAATACAAATAATACACATTAACAACAAAAATATAATACACCGCAACAATATCAAGGGAGCAGCCAAGGGTGGAGCCTAACTGGCTCCACTGTTGCTGGTTTAAGATGACATGCATGCAACATAAAAGAAACCCCATAATAATGGCAAGGGTAATTCCCAGGTGACATCATCCGTAATATTAAGTTAGGGACCGCCTCTGGCTAAATGCAGTGCGATTTTATTTGTAGGACTCTACAACTGTTGTTAGAATGAGATGACGGACACAGATCCTCTCTGGGTGGCTTGAACAAACGGTGAAGATGAGTTCATGTAAGCTTAAGACTTAAGTGAAGTCTTAAGAAGTATTAGCGAAAAGGTCTGGAGAAAAAGTCCCAAATGTCCGTCCCTTCTTTCTGCCACAGAAACATCTACATGCACTGGACTTTTTCATGGGCCTGTATTCCTCCACCAAGACGCGCGCAGCTGCCGGCCTCTATCTGACCAACGGAGTCTCGTGTACTGCAGAGAGCAGTGGTGCAGACCTTCCCTCGCGCAGAGAAGGTCCTGCTTCATGCTCCACATGGAAACGGGTGTGATTTTGCTGCAGTCTGACAGAATCAGATGGCGCACAATAAAAACCACTATTCTACTCCACGTGTTGTGCTGTACGGCTGCACACTCCTGCAACACAAGCACCATTGCAGTTGAAGAACAGGCAGTTGGTCTCTCGGGTCGCTCCTGAAGAAATGACCCCACAGCTTCACTCCGACATTGTGGTCTGTTTGTCTTTCACTCCGTTTGTGGGAGTATTTTATGAGAACAGGGATTTGGAAGGAAGCATGAATGACTCTAGAGAGCGCGCGTAGGGGCTTGTGCACGTCCGAGTGCTGGTGTGCACGCGTGTGCACGCGCGCGTGTGTGTGTGTCATCTCCAGCTGAGTAGCAGGATGCAGACAACCAGGAAGAGATAAGCGCGGGTGAATGAAGGGAGCTTTGCGTGTGCGCGTGTATGTGTGTGTGGAGTGTGTGCGTCCATGTGTGTGCGCGTGGGGAAATCACTTCACAAAGGCCTGGAAGTGTGTGTTCTCCCGTCTACCAGCGCGGGACTCGGAGGAGATAAGCAGACAGCCACATTCTCCCCTTGTGTTTTCCCAGCAAAAACAGGAGGCGGAATACCAACCACTCAGACCGATGCCACAGGGTCAGGCCTGCAACACACAGAAGGACACGGCCGCTCACTCCTCGCACACGCACGCCTACACGGGTCACCTCCACGGGTATGGATACTGCTGAGTTTTTTTGATGGATGCCTTCAGAAAAGACACTCGAGAATGCGCGTGCATGGAGGCACGTTTGCAGACTCACGCTGCTAAAGAAGCAACCGCAACATTGTAATTTTAATATGTAAATAATCCAAAGGAAATAACCGATTAACACTCATCACACACATTTGTACTGTAACAGTAGCATGTATTGTTAGTCCATATAGGAATTTTAGCATGTTGTTGTGCATGCGTGTGAATCATGTAAATATATTAATCGAAAAAGTTACTGGAGAGAATGATGTAAAAAATCCTAAAACAGTATAAACTTTTAAAATATTTATTCAACAATGATATAAAACATAGAAATAAGCATATCCTCATGAGTCAGACCAGAGTCAGTGACTGTTTTTTTCTCAATATTCCTAAATAGCTTGAGTGAAGATGAATGCTTCTTCACAAGACAGCATGAATGAGAAGTGTTACAGCATCTATTGTTCCAGTAACCTACTTACTATTTCAGCACTGTTGATTATCTACAATTAACGTTAAGCTGATAAGCGGGAAAGTGTAAGGGCGTAAACATTAAGTGAATGTTAATCGTAAATTCACAAAACAAATATTTGAGTCTCTGATTAAAAGTTCATGTAAGGATGCAAAAAGATGGAGTTTTTATCTAGTTGTTTTTAATTGGCAGAAAGGGGGAAAAGAACTTCAGTCCAAAACAATAAAGCCAGGCTGGGTTTTGTAATCGTGACGTTCTCTGGCAGGGTTCTCCGGTTGCTCTCTGCTGTCAAATATTTAATGACAGCTAAGAAAACGCCTTACGAATGCACTAGGGGTGTAACGATTCATCCTCTGAATCGATTAATCGATTTATATTCCTGCGATCCAACTGAATCGATCTGTGCTCCGCAAATCGGCATTCCGGACGACATATATCGATTACAAATCGATTGAAATGGTACATAATCGATTTGTATCGATACTTGGAAACTGCACATTGGATTTAAGTACAAAAACGGTATGGATGTTTGTTTGTTTGTTTTTTAGCACTTTAGACACGTTAAACGTTACTCGATTCAGTCTGCCTGTCTGTGACGTCATCAGTACGTAGCGGCAGCCGCGCGAAACTCGGAACAACAACAAAACACAGCGTGGAGGAGACGACTGCGAGCAAGACATTTACAAACCAACTTATTGATCCAGCGTGTGGAAACATTTTGGCTTTTGCAAACACGGAGGTGTTCTAAATAAGTCGGTCGCTGTTCGTAGAATATGTAGAAGACAAATAACACCACGGAAACATGACGAATCTTTCCGGCCATCTACTAAGGCGCCGTGGGATTAAACAACGCCGACAGTCAGGCGCCTGCAGCAGCGTCACCGCTGCAGCAGCAGCAGGTAACTGCAGCTCTGCAGACACCTCAGGCCTCGCCAGCACCAAACTCAACATCACAGTAACAATTGCCAAGTTTATCTGTAAAGACACGCGACCCTACAATGTGGTTGAAAATCCAGGGTTCTGTGAATTGATCCAAACATTGTGTAATTATTGTGTAATGTTTAGATTGAAAATGGCACTTGATTCAAATAAAAGGTTAATACATTTGCCATTAATTGTGGTTTTCTTGTTTGTAATATCCATAATTAATTTAAACCTGATTTCCTTACAAGAAACAACAGGGATCTCAGAAACTTTGCCTCCACTGTCCAGTAGAGTTACTGAATCGATTTCAAGTCACTGAATCGAATCAAATCGAATCGTTCTAAATTAACCCAGATCGTCCATGAATCGAATCGGCAACCATGAATCGCGATTCGAATCGAATCGTTGTTAAAATGAATCGTTACACCACTAAAATGCACACAAAGATATAAGAAGAAACAGGTATCAGTCGAGGTCCATAGGAAAAACGGGATGCTCGTGTGTCCGATTGCTGTGTATAAGTATGAATGCATTCTTTATGTTCATTGATATTTCAAGCAAATAAAAACATAGCCTGAAAAACACAAAGTCATGTGATTGCAATATCAACATAACATCACACAACAGTGTAACATGCCCGAAGTACACACACACACACACACACACACACACACACACAAACTGGCCGGTGTCCAGGGTTGTCAGGTTTGTGTATTTGGTATGTGAGGAATGTGTGCTGGTCAGCGTGTGGACACTCCGTGTTCTGGGTGGAGTCCTTATCGGCCCAACGTGTCATCACAGACAACATGGGGCCCTCAAAAGAGCCAAGAAACACATTCGAACATATTTGTGTGCGTAAGCCCGCCTGCGCATACACACAGAGTGAGACAGGTGTAACCGAAGCAAACGTCTGGATAAAGAAAAAGAAAGAACGCAGCAACATCTCTTCAGATTCTTCCACCGGCCCGGATGATGTGAGCGCTGACGTGTTAACATGCAAAAATAATCCTTACTAGTCATGGAGCTTTGCTTGGTGGTCGTAAACAGACTAGAAGAAGACTGACACAGAAAAACATCAGTGCACGACTAAGGCAGATTTAGGACTGACAATTGAGCCTTGATACTTGCTTGTTGAGTTTGATAATAAATCTCCTGGGAAGTAATACGACTGCTTGCGTGTTTTGTAGCATAAATTAATATATGGGGAAAGAAATGTTGATATGAAGGCAAATATGTTAATATAAATGCAACAAACTTACTCATGATAATGGGAAGAAGCAGCGCAATCATCATTTATGAAGCAAATCCGTTGAATACGCTATTTTAAATCATGAAGATGCACCAACACATAAACGCAATATGTGGTCGCAGTGAGAAGGAAAGAAATGAGCTTGGTTCATAAGTCAAACTGCATGAAAGCTTAAGTGAATCTCCAGTTTGAGTTAATTTAGGTGGACCGCACAAAGATACCGTGCATGACACACCATTGCACTATTAGGTTCCCATGAAATAACAAGGATTTTTTATGCACGTTGCTTCATATCAGTGACAAAAATATGGTGATAAAATGTTTAAAAGAATGCAAGATTGCATACACACATGTACTGCCTTATGAGAACAGATAGCTCTAGGACCATGTGTGTGTGTGTGTGTGTGTGTGTGTGTGTGTGTGTGTGTGTGTGTGTGTGTGTGTGTGTGTGTGTGTGTGCGCGCGCTGTGTGCAAAGCAGCGAGAGAGAGAGAGAGTGCATCAGCACTGTTTTGGTACAAATGAGTCCAGCTGTTTCTCATCTTCCTTAATGGCTGATTTAACATCTGGATCCACGCGCAAACACACATACACACACACAGAAGTGTACTCGGTGAACATGCATAGAGTACAGCAACAACATTTTGGCCTCAATCAGAACAACAATTCAGCCAACAGATAATGCTCGCGCTAAACGTGCGCGCGCGCGCGCGCTTCTCGGAGGACGCCGGCTTAGCAGGACTGTCAATGGGCTGCACGTGGCACCACCGAGGGTTCATAACGATAAATCGTTGGTAAAGAACACAAATAAATGGGCATCTATCATTTCTCATACACGTGCAACCTCTGAGGCAGCGCGCCCGAGGCGTCGGATCAACGCAACCGAGATGCGTAAAATGACTTTTATCTCCAAGAATATTCAAGGATATGATTCCAAACTAAAAACGTGAGTGAAGACAGGACTCACCAGCTTTGCACGGGTCTTTGTAGTCAATGGTCTCCGCTCGCTCTTCCTCATAATAATCATAGTCTGGCTCCTCGTAGTCGAAACAGTTGCAAATAGTCACTTTGCCCCAGAAAGTCAAGCCCGCGAGCACCAGCGTGATCCAGCGCATCTTAGCGGCCAGTGCCGGGGGCACTCGGTCCATCTGAGGACTGAAATAAAGGAACAAAAGGCCTCTCTGCTCGTCCCCTCTTGTTCTGTTAGGAGATGGTCTAACCACTCTCCAAAGGAAGCAGGAATGTCAGCGGATCATGGTGAAGACAGCTCTCCCTTTCTCCGGATACTATAAGCCGCTGCAAGTTAATCTCCTCGGCTCTCCTCCATGGTAAAAGTGCACCGAGTTGTCCGTCCGTACGTCTCTCCCGGCGTCTGTCAGTCAGCAAAGTGTCCGCCGAGGAGCTCCGCTGTCCTCCGCTGTAGCTTCGCAGGTGAGGCTGCTGAGACTAAAATAAAAAAAACAGCCATACACTCACACACACACACACACGCACACACAAGACAGAGACGCGGTGAATGGATGTGGACATCTGATCCCTGAGCGCAAAGACGCACGGCCGGGTGCCTGCTGCTCACGAGCGCCACTGAGTGTCTCACACTCTCTATACCCTACAGTGCCCCCCCCCCCCTCTCTCTCTCTCTCTCTCTCTCTCTCTCCCTTCTCCCGAGTCAGCGCACCGCCCACCCACAAAACGCGCGCGCGCGCACACACCGCCCAATACCTGCACTGGGGTGCCTAACCCAAACTTTCTTTGTGCCTTTTCTCCCTACTGAGAGCGTGTTTGCTGATATGCGCCCCCCTCCCCATCCTCCTTTGCACAAACACCCGCATATACGGATAACCCACTGTGATAAATGCATCCTCATCACAACGTGGTGACACCGGAGGAAACGCGCACCGATCTTCACAGGGTTTTTTGGACCCTCACAGCGATCCGTAAAGGGAGCCTCCCAGGGGGCTTCCAGGAGAAAACCGGTAGCGGTAAAAGTAACGCTGCGGTTACAAATGGGCCTGTGGGTTTTAGTATTCATCATCCCTCACACCCAGTTACTAATGGGTGTTATCTGGTGATTTAGAGAAAGGTGCTAAGTAGGTGACAACCACACCATAAATGCCCAGAGGTAGTGAGCAACAGACGACTTTATGGCAGTCATTATACTTCCTCTGCTACCTCCTTTTTCTGTCTTTGAAAGAGAGAAATGTAAAAATAAAAAAAAGATCAAAGGTTATATGAATTGCGCTATTTGGATCTTGTGCGTAAAGTAGACTCGATCTATGGCGCTAAAGATTCCATCTTTCCTCTACATAAGACGTAAACAGTGAGTTGGTCAATAGAGACCCTCAGAGGGTGATCACCGAAGACGAAAAGTCTCCTGCTTCATAATGTGTAGCACACAGCTGGGGTGTTGGGTTATGTTCTCCAACCACAAATGATTGATTTAGTTATTGTACATTTGGCAGAATGATATCCATCCGTCAGTAGATCGGTCGACAACAGAGGAACCGACTTTCCGTGGGTTAACAATGCTCCACTGCATCACTGGCCCCTAAGTAGCCGACTCTCTGTGGCGTTTGGGTGAGACCAAACCAAAGTACATTTACCACCAATTAAACTCGGCGCCTTGGCGCAGACAAAAAAAAAATCTTCCACTGTCTATAAAAAGTTGTCAACAAATACCCCACAATCCTCGGGAATGCACGCACTGCTGACACAAGCAGTAAACACAAAAACACCCCGCCGAGGTAAATCCTCCTGAGACCGGTTCGCCCCGCGTCTCCGCAGCTTACCTGCTGCGTTTACCTGCCCGGGCCGCGTCGGTTTGCTGCGGCGTCACGAAGCGACCCATCGTGCCTCCGACGCAGCCGAGTCCACTCTCCCGGGGGCGTCAGGGGGCCCGCGGTGCCCCTCGGTACCGGCGGTTCCGAACGTGCCCGTCTCCCCCCATTCTTGTGACACGGGAGATTACCGGAGCGCTGTCTCTCTCTCTCTCTCTCTCTCTCTCTGCTGCTCCCGACTAATCCTGCCCCTCCCGGGAGGGGCAGCGGCGCGCTGACGTCACTCTATCAATCCAGCCGCAAGCTGTCCACTCCGCACGCCCCCGAGGCACGGACACAAATCCCCTGGAGGCTGCGCGCACACGCACTAACACAGTTTAGTTGCAGTGGAGGTCAACGCACCCCTGATCCTGAAGGACGGGGGATGACCTGAACCAACAGAGGAAGGAGGAAGTTGATTGTCGGCCTTTTAAAGATGGAGAGAGGCTCACCAAATGTCCCTTTGTACCAAACTGTTTAGTATGAAAGATTTAGAAACACGCAATACATACACGATGTTTGCGTTTTGCAGTGTGCAAACCGGCACGCCTTTCTAGAGCTAAAGCTGTAGGGTTTAACGTGCTATGCTACTTTTAAAGGACCACTTAACTGTATTTACTACACAGTTTAATGAGTGATGTGTGATCTGTGCGTTTGTGGTCTGGATTTATCTCCTGAAGAATTGCTGATTAACGCCGAGGGAGGCATTGAGTGGCGTTTGGGCCTCTCTAACCACTTACCTGCGTGCGGTTGCCGCCCCAAGTAATTTATTCAGCAAAATGCTTCCTTCTTAAGAACGATCCAGCTTCAGAGATTAATGCTGTGTGCAGGTATTTGAGTCTCTATTTAAAGCATTTATTGATCAGTGCGACTCTGAAACTCTGTAAAAGTACCTCGCCAGCATTCTGGCCCAGCACAACCGCCGCCACCAACCTCCCTGACACACACACACACACACACACACACACTCACAGACACACACATCAGGACAAGCCCTCCATCTGAGCAGCAGCCCCTCGAGACTCTCGCAAGTGCTTTGGTCTGCAGGTATTGGAGCACTATTATTACCATTGTTTTGCTCAAAGAGACTCTCCAATCAATTTGATACGGGGCAGCACAACTCCACAAGGTTTGCATTGTGCTCGTTTAACTTTAAAGGCGAATACTTGACGTTGAATGGATTTCCATATGGGAAAGATTACTATCTGTAAGGTGTAGGCGCATCGAGCGCTGCAGTTCCACTCGGCTCTACAAAATGTTTCGCTTTTTTTAGTAGTCAACCTGGTTTCCAGTGGTAGAAAACCATTCAGAGGGCCAGAAACAAAAATCTGCAATGCCATGTTCTGGATGTTTGTCCTGATTGCCAAAGATAGTTACAGCTACAAGGTGCGTTGTGTAAAATATTGAGGAGAGAAATAAGAGGTGAGAAGAAATAACTAATCTGACTGCGTTAGTGTCAAGTGTTCTTTGAATTCCCCCTGAGGGAGCTAAGAGGTGGCCAGAGACATCCATCACCTTTTGGAGGTAAACCGTCTGCTGACACTACAGCAGAGTACTTGAGAAGATGAAAATACGTAGATACCGTTAAAAAGCTCCACAATTGCCTAAACGGTTTAATTTCTTCATCACTTCATTTATTTGATTTCTAGTTTTTCTCTTCAAAACAGCCACATGGAACGTTTATTGTGAACTCAAAACGTTGGGATACAGAATGAAAATGTTGTTACCTAAATAACTTACAGTATGTGTGTTACTGTCCTGTGTAGTCGACCTTTATGTAAACAGAGAGAGCGGATGGGAAGATGAGGTTCAGAGGAAATCCTCTGGTTAAATGCCAAGATGTTCATCGCATTCTCTCTCCCTCTCTCTCCTGATCTTATTTCCTCTTTTCTTCTCCACTCGAGGCTCAGATTCTCCACCGTCGTGTCCTCTCTTGTGTGTTCCGTGCACGTGGGCGTGACCGCGTGGGTGTGCACGTGCTCACGCTCACGATCGCGGTCGTGTGTTTCGGAGAGATGACACAGGCCGCTTATGACTGGCAGGAAGGAAGAGGAATGACTGCAGGATGCATGTTGGAGTAAAAAAAATAATAATACGTATTAAAAAAAACATCTGCAGCTGTAAAGAGGAAAAGATGCGAAAACCGAGAAATGAATAGCGGAAAGGACGCGGCTTAGCTTAGCATAAAGTCGAGGGGAAACGGCTGTCGTTGCACTGTCCGAACTCAAAAACTACCCCAATACAATTTTCATTTGTGCGGGTCTGGAGAAAGAGAAACGGTCTAGAGTCTATTTCTTGATGTTCATGAAACATGGTACAGTGTTCGCACGTGCACGTTGGTACCACACCTGGCAACTGTGACCACACAACGCGAGGAGTCACTGTGCAGCAACGGCATGAAAGGCGGCAAATAACAACAAGAACTGCGAATGTGGCTTTAACATTTTTGTTAAATCACTCAGCTGTTTCTTTTTAGTCGTAATGCTAACTAAGCACGCTCAGGAAATACAGCTGGATGGGCAGATTTTACAAAATGCTGAACTGTTCCTTCATTACATGTAAGTAAGTGTTTCATTATAGTACATGCACGCATTGAAATATGTCTGAAACTATTCATATTTGATGTAGCTGCCCAGTGAAATCTTTCCGGAACAAACAAGTATCGCGTGGAGAAATTCCACTTGGAACGAGATGGTCAGAAGACCCCTGAGGCAGAGTTGGGTTGTGGGGAGAGAAAGAAGTGTACTGAGCAAGCGAAAGCAGAACAAATCTCCCTCTCCTCATCACCTCCCTGCTTTGAAAGCCCAAGATGCCCGAGTGTGCGTGTGCCTGCGTGTGTGTGTGTGTAAATGTAAACAGTGGTCCTTTGCTGACACGGCACTTCTTCAGGAACTTGGATTGTGTGTGTGAGCGCCTTGGCCTCTGCTCCGAGCAGATATGCTTCCTTTCAGAAAGACGGAAAGAAATAAGCAGCAAAGACCTTAGACTCTGTGCGTGTGTGTGTGTGTGTGTGTGTGTGTTTGTGCGTGCGTGTGTGTGTGGTACACTGTAAAATTGCAGTCCTCTCCAGCTTTAAGGGGAAACCACTCTTAAATGAAGAACAGTTGTAGAGTCCACAATAACCACAACAAACAACAACCCGTCTGTATGATGCACGAGCTCCAATCCACATGCTAATAATGATCCGTGACCCCTCCTGCGAATCACTGCATTAGCTCTGTGAGCAGACCGTCCCTCCCTGCATGAGCGTCGGGTCATCAGGATACTGCTGTCATCTGCAGGATTAAAGCAGTAGTGACAAACGGAGATGGACAGCTCTGACACCGGGCAGGAGGGTAAAAGACAAATGAGCTTATTTCTTTATGTTATCAAAAGTCAAACTGTCTGTGTTGTGCTGCTAAAATGTTTTCAGCAGCGACAATGAACAATTATGGGAATTAATAAAAATTGTTGCAAGGATATTAAAGTTATATTGAAATAGTTTCTTTAAAAATGAAATGCAACATGTTCAATGTCAATTCGTCTTCATGAACAGTCCTCTTAAAAGAATAAAGTTACAGGATGCCATCGGAAAACGTAAACTTCTCGCTCTCTCTCGCCAGGTCTCCTCCGTGTCCCGCTCTGCCCGGAAGTCAGAGGAGCTTGATCAATGGTATCGATGAGGAGATGCTAATAGCTGATGCTAATAGGGCCGATATGACTAATATGCAGAGGGGGCCATTGATCTGCAGAGTTAGCACCTCATGCTGAAACAGCTGATTCAACTACATAGTTGGACTAAAAGTGCCACCCTTGCTATGCGTGTGTGTGTGTGTGTGAGTGTGTGTGTGCACTTGAGTAACAATGCATTCCTGCTGAAGTATAAAGTATACAAATGCAAGCACAGACGCAGGACGACACAATAATACATTCCGTATCCTTGTAAACCTGAATTTACAGTTAAAAAGTCAAGCTTGTATTCACTTGTATTCGCTTATACAAGATTGGACCATTGTGCAACAGGTCTGACATTCACCCTCAACCAAACCCAAACCAGTTTTATTCAGGCCTTTTTACAGTTTCCGAGTAATAATGACAACATTTAGTGGCCACACACTGTATATTTGTGTATTTGGTCTCTACAGAATGTTAAACCAGTAAGAAAGGCTTTTGTGGAATTTTGAAATGGTCTCACAGCTCATATATTCGCCTAATGACACTGCAGATAAACAGTATTAGACTTGGTCAGCAGCTTATATATGGTACACAGCATATTTCAGGTCTTCCAACTACTCAAAGGGCTTTAACATTCAATTGTACAACCAAAGCAGTGATTTTTAGTTCTGCAGTTATTCGTCTCAACAGTTGGCAAGGACCAAACAAGAGCAAAACAATACAATATTAGTATTTAGTATTTTTTTCATCCATGTCACTAAATTTGAGACAGTCATACACTAATTGAAGTACCACACAGTTCATGGTACTTTATGTGTAATACCTGCCTGACTATGCATTTGAGTTTAATTACTCATGGTTGTCTTTATTTTAAATCTTATTTTATTCTATATAATTTTTACTAGTTCATTTGTTTTTACTTTCCTCTGCTTGTCTGCACTCATTTATTTCTTTATGCTGTTACAACAACTGAATGTCTCCTCTGAAGCGCAATAACGGCTTATCCTAATTTAGCGTAGCTCTTATAACTTTTCTGATCTTTCCTGAATGAGGGTCTTTATGTATAAGGGAATATATCTTGACACTAACATCATGTGGTTATTGTTTTGTTACCCCTTCCTCCTACAAGTAAGTAAGACATTTTAATGTATATAAATATGCCCTTTGAATCCCTAGTGAGAAGCCTCATTAATGTGCCTCATTAGTTGTTCATCTGTACTTATGACGGCTCTTATCTACAGCAAGTTGTAAATCGGCTCATTTAATGAAATCGCGCTTTCTTGTTTCTTGTTCTTTTGAGTTTGTATCCTTATGTTTGAAATGCGCTTATCGTAAGTCGCTTTGGATGAAAGCAAACGTAATGCAAACAAAGACAAGACTGCAGTTTGACAACATAAAGGGGGGAGTTTTATTGATCCGTTCCTTTATTTTTATTTGCACTTGTTTCTATAGATGTACATTCAATATTCTTTCTGCGGTCCTGAACCAGTGGAGCTGCGACCACGTAGTCGGCTAAACA